GCTTCTGTACTATTTATAAACCCATATTAAGACCTCTAGCATTGACCTCTCTTATGGTCTTTGAAGAACTTTTAATAAGATAAGTTATTTTTGTCTCATTTTTATTTATCTATTACTTACAGGTCTACCTGTTTATTAAAACTAAGAAAGTACTTTTTTAATTATACGATAAACATTCTTGCATAATTATCTTATTCTATTAACCTTTCAAATACATTATTTACAGTGATTAATTATCAAAGGTGAATGGAAAAAGGGGAATAACTTCTCTCAGTAGAATACAAATTAATAGAGCCCTGCCCAGGACCAGAATGCTTAGACCAATGGTCCAGATGTTTAACAAGAGGCCCACGGGCCTTATAGGTCACCTGAGTATCATGCAACAACTTCGCCACAATGGATTCATGTTTTAAACCAGAGGCCATGAAATTCACAATTTCGAAAGAGGCACACTTGCTCATCATAATTTTACATTGAGTAAGCTTACTTAATACCCAGAAAGAGAGCAGAGGATTATCAATGAATTAATGCATTTTCACTATGTAATCATTAGAGCCCTGCCCTAACACCAGAACCATGATGCAGGGGCCATAAAATTCACAATTTTGGAAGAGGCATCCTTACATATCATAACAATACTCTTAGTTCATCAGCTTAATACCCAGGAGAAAAGAAGAAGATTTTCAAAGAATTATTGCATTTTTACTATGTAATCATTAGAGCCCCACCTTAACACCAGAACCCCTGACCCAGGGGCCATGAAATTCATAATTTTGGAAGAGGCACCTTTACTCATCATAACTATGCATCAGTTTGTTTGTTAAATACCCAGGATCAAAGAAAAAGATTTTTAAAGAAATAATGCATTATCACTATATATTCAACAGAGCCCCACCCTAACCCCAGAACCCCTGACCTAGGGGCCATGAATTTCACAATATTGGAACAGGCACCCTTATATATCATAACTATACTCTTAGTTCATCGGCTTATTACCCAGGAGAAAAGGAGAAGATTGTCAAAGAATTATTGCATTTTTACTATGTAATCATTAGAGCCCCGCCCTAAAACCAGAACCCCTGACCAGGGGGCCATGAAATTCACAACATAGGAATAGGCACCCTTATTCATCATAACTATGCCTTCAGTTTGTTTGCCCTGGATCAGAGAAGATTTTTAGAAGAAATAATGCATTTTCACTATACATGTATATTCAACAGAACGCTGCCCTAACACCAGAACCCCTGACCCTGGGGCCATGAAATTCACAATTTTGGAAGAGGCACCTTTCATCATCATAACTATGTATTTATTTTGTTTTCATAATATCCAAGAGCACAGAAGAAGCTTTTTAAAGAAATAATGCATTATCACTATATATTCAACAGAGCCCCACCCTAACACCAGAACCCCTGACCCTTGGGCCATGAAATTCACAATTTTGGAAGAGGCACTCTTTCTCATCATAACTATGTACTTAGTTCATCGGCTTAGTACCCAGGAGCAGAGGAGAAGATTTTTGAATAATTATTGCATTTTTACTATATAATCATTAGATACCTGCCCTTACACCAGAACCCCTGACCCAGGGGCGATGAAATTCACAATTTTAGAAGAGACACCTTTCCTCATCATAACTATGCATATTGTTTGTTTCCTAAATACCGAAGAGCAGAGGAGAAGATTTTTTAAGAATAATGCTTTTCACTACATATTCAACAGAGCCCCACCCTAGCACCAGAACCCCTGACCCTGGGGCCATAAATTTCACAATTTATGTAGAGGGCTCAATGTTTATTACATTCATGCCAACAGTTTGCCTGCTTGATGCCCAGGAGTAAAGAAGAAGATTTTTAAAGATTGCATTAATTCTGATGGTTTTAGCCCCACCCCTCAGGCCCCAGGGGGGTAGGGGTCATGAATTTCACAATTTTTACTCCCCTTCACATATAGATGCTATGTGCCAAATTTGGTTGAAATTGGTTCAGTGGTTCCAGAGAAGAAGCTGAAAATGTTCAAATGTTAACGCACGACGGACGACGCACGCCGACGGACGAAAACAGATAGCAATAGGTCACCTGAGTAAACTCAGGTGACCTAAAAATCTGGTAGAAATACGCTTACTAATATCATTTAAACTTTTACTCAGTTTGCTTCCAATATGCCCAGAAGCAGAGAAGAATTTCACAGGTGCAATGCATTTTCACTACAGATTCAACAAAGCCTTACCCAACACCAGAACCCAAGACCAAGGGTCAAGAAATTTACAAATTTGGAAGAGTTACCCTCATCATCATAACTATGGACTTCAAAGAATTAACACTTTTCCACTATATTATCAAAAGCCCCCCCCCCCCCTTGTTATGCCAGAACCCCTGACCCTAGGACCACAAGATTTAAAAATTCTGTTCGAAGCTCCCATTTTCAACATAGCTAAGCAATTTATTTATCAGCTCAACACTAAGGAGCAGACAGGATTAATTAATGATTAATAGAATTAATGCTTTTTCACTATATAATCAATAGAGCCCCCCCCCCCCCCCCCCCAAGAACCCCAAAAACTGAGGCCATATATTTAAAAATTTTGGAAGAGGCATCCTTGTCTATCATAATCATGCACTTAGTTTGTTTATATAATCTCCAGTAGCAGAGAAGAAGATTTTCAAAGAATCAATGCATTTTCACTATATAATCTATAGAGCCCCGCCCTAACACCAGAACCCCTGACCCTGGGGCCATGAAATTCACAAATATTTGAAAAGGCATCCTTATGCATCATAACCATGCACTTAGTTTGTTTAAATAATCTCCAGTAGCAGAGAAGAAGATTTTCAAAGAATCAATGCATTTTCACTATATAATCTATAGAGCCCCGCCCTAACACCAGAACCCCTGACCCTGGGGCCAAGAAATTCACAATTTTTGAAAAAGCATCCTTATGCATCATAACCATGTACTTAGTTTGTTTAAATAATACCCAGGAGCAGAGAAGAAGATTTTCAAAGAATTAAAGCATTTTCACTATATAATCAATAGAGCCCCGCCCTAACACCAGAACCCCTGTCCCAGGGGCCATGGCTTTCACAATTCTGGAAGAGGCCCACCTCCTCCTCATAACTATGTACTTAGTTTATCACCTTAATGCCCAGGAGCAGAGGAGAAGATTTTCAAAGAATTAATGCATTTTCACCATATAGTCGATATAGCCCTGCCCTAACACCAGAACCCCTGACCCTAGGGCCATGAAATTCACAATTTTGGAAGAGGTACTCTTGCTCATCATAACTATGTACTTAGTTACTTTATTTAATATCCAGAAGCAGAGAAGAAGATTTTCAAAGAATTAATGCATTTTCACTATATAATCAATAGAGCCCCGCCCTAACACCAGAACCCCTGACCCTGGGGCCATGAATTTCACAATTTTGGAAGAGGCACTCTTGCTCATCATAACTATGTACTTAGTAACTTTATTTAATACCCAGGAGCAGAGAAGAAGATTTTCAAAGAAATAATGCACTTTCACTATATGATCTATATAGCCCCACCCTAGCACCAGAACCCCTGACCCTGGGGCCATGAATTTCACAATTTTGGTAGAGGGCTCCATGCTTATTACAATGATGCCAACAGTTTGACTGCTTGATGTCCAGGAGTAAAGAAGAAGATTTTTAAAGATTGCATTATTTTTGGTGGTTTTAGCCCCACCCCTCAGGCCCCAGGGGGGCAGGGACCATGAAATTCACAATTTTTGTTCCCCTTTACCCATAGATGCTATATACTGCTATATAATTTGGTTGAAATTGGTTGAGCGGTTCCAGAGAAGAATCTAAAAATGTTCAAAAGTTTACGACCGACGTACGACGTACGACGACGGACAAAAACGGATAGCAATAGGTCACCTGAGTTTACTCATGTGACCTAAAAAGGGTAAATTTATAAAATCAGTTTGCCCATTTAATGTCCTTTACAAAAGTAAAAGATCAAGATTTTCTACGGCATGTGTTTTCAAATTATGACTAATTTAGCCCCACCCTGGTGCCCGAATGCTGGACCCATGATCCTTTAGTAATGGGTCAAGCACTGGGAAATCGTCATTGTTTGTAGGGGACAAATGTTTGTGGATTTTGTGGGACACCCTTACACAGGAATTATTTACGTACATCCCCAAGAATAATTTCTTGTCAAAATATAGTTTCATTTAATCTGCTACATATATGAGTTAAAAATGAAATAACTTCCCCACGGCCAGTGAAAATTGATTGCCCACGAACATTGACCTCCACAAATAAAAACTATTCCACAAAACTCACTGACATAATCCAAACATTAGTCTGCCTTATGCCCACAATTCAAGAAAAGATCTCTAAACTTTAATGTTTTTTTTTCCACCCCACACCAAGAGTCTTAAAATTATAATAGGCCTAGAATTTCCCAATATCGATAGTGCATAAACTTGTTTCTCAGTTGCCATATTTATAGAAGAGAATTTTCAAAATTAAACTAAGCCCCACCCTAGCCCTAACTATGGGTGAAGACACCATAAATTTCATAATTTTTGTAAAATTTTGAAGTCATAGTAAAAAGAAACATATTTTAGGATATAATGCATTTTCAATATATGACTGACTCAGTCATACCCTGGAGAATGAACAATAAACCCAAAAGCTACGAATTTCAAAAACTTCAGTAAAGGGTTTTTTTTCCCATTTTTTCAAAAATAATTATTCAAAAAGTTTGACTGCCTGATGTCCAGGAATTAAGAAGAAGATTATTGAAGATTGGATCAATGTTGATGGAATATTGGCCACAGCCCTTAGACCCCTAGGAAGCAGAAACTATGAGACCCCCCCCCCCCCCCCCCCCAAAAAAAAAAGTTCTTACAGCAAGAGTGACACAGGTGATTTGAAAATGCAATTAAATTACAACAATATACAATATGTATCAAAAATTATTAATAAATAATACAGAAATGTCAATAAAATACAATTTTCTGGTGAACCAAAGAAACTCATTTCTTTCAAGCAAATGTCAAGATTTCTTAAAAGTGATAGGTAATTTCTGTGCTTTGTGTATACATACTTTCATGTTAAAAAAAAATCTTAAAGTTTTACTAAATTGAAAATAGATAAAATAAAAATCTGTAAGGCATTGTTTATCTAATCTGACAGAACATCTTAGCTGTTAATGTTTACATTAATATACAGGATTCAAATTCCATGCACAGTTGTCCTCCAAATCAGTTTTCACGCAATACTGGGTATGCTTTATTTTTCAATCTCAGATTTTGTGTCAGAAGAAGCACTGTTTCTTGTGAATGTACTGAATGAAGTATCTGCTGGTGGAACTTCCTCATAACTTTCATTCTCAAAGCAGAGAACAGAATCATCTATTTTATCAGTCTTCAAGATCTCCACACTCTCGGACTTGCCAAAATATTCTGGGGATGTAATACAGTGTGTCTGAGATTTGGGGACCACCTTCATCTTCCAGAAAACAACAGCTATAATCATGACTACCAATGCGGTTCCCACCAAAGCCAGGGCAATGTATATCCCCATTGTAAAGACATCTTTCTCTTTCCCTGGAGGTTTCACCTGAAAAAAAAAGTGAGGAGCAGAATAAACATTACAAAGGAAAAATATTTTGAAATACTCTTTGAATAACTTATTAATAAATGAAACTCTGTGAGAGATCCAATTTCATCTATATATTTCATAAAGACATTTACATCTTACACATCACTACATATCCTTTCACATTATTAGCAATAATTGTTTTAATAAACCATTATTTAGTTTTTTTCAATGTCCAGCATTTGCACCTTTTGCACATGCCATCAGCCTGTTACAATTATACGTTCCAGTGGAACCAGCATGGCCACAAACATTTTAGAGAAGGGCTCAGGGGCAGTTGCAAATACTGTAAACATACTTTATTCCTTGGGGCCATAACTCCACGGAATCACAATTTCTGTTCAATCCACGAGTATAAAATTACGCGGATATCTTGGATTGTCATTATATGTCCTTAATGAATCTTTAGTACGCTGTGACAAATTTCTGCAGAACAAGATGTGTTTGTGAAACAATGATGCCCCCGTATGGCAGCTTACGGCGAAGGTTAAAGTTTTTTCAAATGCAAGTCAAAATCCAGGCCAAAAGACAAGAAATGTTGATACCCAAAGAAAGGTCTTGTCTCGAGGAATACACCTATGAAATTTGAAAGACCTAGATACAACTGTTCAGAAGTTATGGCAAAGGTTAAAGTTTTTTGAATAAAAGTCAAACGTCAAGGTCAAGGTCAAAGTGGTTGGTATCCCAAGGAAGATCTTGTCACAAGGATTACATATGTGAAGTATGAAAGCCCTAGCACCAACCATTCAAAAGTTATGGCCAAGGTTAAAGTTTTTCAAAAGTAGGTCAAACTCCTAGGTCAAGGTCAAAGGGTCAAATAGGTTGGTATCCAAAGGAAGGTCTTGTCACAAGGATTACATATGTGAAGTATGAAAGCCCTAGCATCAACCATTCAAAAGTTATGGCCAAGGTTAAAGTTTTTCAAAAGTAGGTCAAACTCCTAGGTCAAGGTCAAAAGGTCAAAGTGGTGGTTGGTATCCAAAGGAAGGTCTTGTCGCAAGGATTACATATGTGAAGTATGAAAGCCCTAGCTCCAACCATTCAAAAGTTATGGCCAAGGTTAAAGTTTTTCAAAAGTAGGTCAAACTCCTAGGTCAAGGTCAAAAGGTCAAAGTGGTTGATATCCAGAGGAAGGTCTTGTCACAAGGAATACACATGTGAAGTTTGAAACCCTAAGCACCAACTGTTCAAAAGTTATGGCCAAGGTTAAAGTTTTTCAAAAGTAGGTCAAACTCTAAGGTCAAGGTCAAAAGGTCAAAGTTGTTAGTATCCAAAGGAAGGCCTTGTCACAAAGAATACACATGTGAAGTTTGAAACCCCAAGCACCAACTGTTCAGAAGTTATGGCTAAGGTTAAAGTCTCATAAAATTTTGCAAAAGTAGGTCAAACTCCAAGGTCAAGGTCAAAAGGTCAAATATGATGGTACCAAAAGAAAGGTCTTGTCACAAGGAATACACATGTGAAATATGAAAGTCATAGCTCCAACCAATCAAAAGTTATGGGGAAGGTTAAAGTTGACAACAGACAGACAGACAAACAGACAAACGGACAAACAGACAAACAGATAAACAGACAAACAGACAGACAGGACAAAAACAATATACCCCCGGGATCTTTTGATCCGGGGGCATAAAAATTGGGATCGCGTTCATGGCGGAAATTAATCCCACGCGGAAAAAAGTATGTCTACAGTATTACATATACTACTCATATTACTTGCATCAATTTTATTTACTTTTTCCAACAACTGAGTCATATTTATAGTGAGAGTAATTCAAATTGTGTGACATTTTACCTCCTCAACAACAGCACATTTTGTTCCATAGTAGTCCTCTCCATCCACCGAGAGATAATTCGCTAGTGTCAAGGACGTTCCTCGGAAGTTAAAGTTAGTTCCGTTCTCTACTGCACTACACAGAGAGGAAACTGTTGTATTCAACATGGTAGAAGTACCTGAGACCTGGAAGGTGACCAAGATACTACCTAAAAAGTTAGATTGTAGGAATTTAAATATTGTGACATATGTCATCATCATCACCACTAAAACATACTATGACATACAGGTCAATACAAAATTTTATGTACTTAAACCTTCTTTAAACAATTATTTACAGACATAAAATAAAATAAAGTGTCTTTGTTAATGTGGGATTAATTTTTGCAACCACTGCAGTAGTATGATGTTCTAAATCATCTACTTGATATTAAATCATTGGTTTACCAATTTAGGCTCATGAATTTTGGGGATTGTTCCATTAATCCCATATGAGTAAATGAATAAATTTATTTCTAATAAATTCAATTTAATTAGTATTCATTTTAACTTGAATTTCTAATGATCGAAACCTTTATAAATATTATCTATCACAGTCTTACTATGCATGGATGTTTTGTTTTCTTTGCTTGAACTATAATGCTAGTACATAATTGAAAAAAAATGTGTCAGGTTGACATGAATGTCCCCGCTGAAATGTATGTTTTAGAAATAGGTGATCGAGGGTCATAACTTAAGTCCAGAAAACTAAGATGGTATGAAAGTGATGGAATGATGGACAGAAAAGTGTAACACTATATAGCACAGCCATTTCATGGTGGGGCATTTAAAAAAGACAATGCACCCTTAAGCTTTATTTGTTTTTAATGATGCTACAGCATGCAACATATGCATTCCTTGGAACACTCTAGTTCTGCAACAGTTACAACCAATGACTAATCATGGCTTTGCCGTTTTTGAGAAGAAGATTTCTAAAGGTTTTTTCCTTTATATTCCTGTGTAAAACTTTGATAACCTATTGTGGCCCCGCCCTATCCCTGGGGGTCATGATTATAAAAACTTTGAATTTTGTAAAATTTTAACAATCAGGCTTATTTTTACTTTAAGGGTAACAAGTTAACAACATTACATTTTGAGATACTAGTATTGCCTTTAAATTTTACAAAAATCTTGCCCATACAAACATGATTCTTGTCAAAAATTAGTAACCTGGCTCTTTAGTCAAGGGTCAAGGACATATGCAGGTCATGATCGTATATTATGAATCTTTTTATCATAATACACAACCAAATAGTCACATTAAGTAATGAATGATATATAAATAAAACAAATACAATTTAAATACTTTACATCTGCTGTTCTTGTACAAATGTGCTACCAAAAATATTAACCTTTGCGAATCTTGATAGAATTCAGTACAATGTCTGGGTAGAGGCCTGACAGGAAATTGCCCATCATAGCCTGAAAGTGCAGTAAATATCTCGTTCCCACAACAGTATCGTAATTAGCTTCAAATCTCAACTGTATATCCTGAGAGCTGTTTTTGAAAAATGAGATTTGTTGTAATTTCTGGATATGAATTAAAGTTTCTAACTCCAATGTATACTCGGGAGGTTCGGAGGTAACGATGATCTTCATGACCACCATACCCTGCACATTGAAGCTGAAGTTGGAGAGAGTAGCCATACCACTGTTATCATCAAACGTTGTAGTGGTGTTACCACTGAGTTGTCCTCTGTAATAATCCTGACCACCCAGTTCTATATTTACAATCCATTTATGGTTCTGTTAAAAACGAAAAATAAGTGTAATATCTTTACAATAACAAAAGACCTATGGCCACAATGCTCAACTGAAAAAATATTCTCCTCTCAAAAGAATATTTTTATATAATATTAGATTTACATATTCTCTTTTTTTTTTATTTGAATCAACTTGAATCAATGCTTAATCTATTTGAATAACCCTGTTCTCTTAAAGAGATAATATTTAACAATTTTTGGTGTAATATTCTCATGCAACCGGAGCTATGTGATCTGACATTTTCTAAGGATCATGTTTAACAAAACAAATCTACATGAAACTGATAACTTATCATGGTACTACTTTTCTTCAGAAAAAGCTTTTTTTATTTTTCCCAGAAAATTCTCAAAAAGATTTTTTAAAAAAGACTGTGTTTCTTTACCTTCCCCTGGATGTTAAACTTTGACTTCTACAGAAGACCTACCATAGCATGGGGGAGGGAGGGGAGAGCTTTCAAGTTTGATCAAATTTAAATCTACACCACATAAGAATGCTTGCATAACCCCATGACTTACTGTGGCTTTTCTTTATTGAGATATTGATTTTCAAAAGATTTTCTCTATCTATTCAGGGACCATGATTTAAAATAAATGAAAACAAAACTCATTAAGGAAGCTTTCACCTAAGATTTGTTTTTTTTGTAAGCCTAATGATTCTCCAGGTTTTTTAATGACACCCCCTCCCCCCATTTTAAATAGGTCTTTAACATCTTAATGCTTTAACAAGAGGCCCAAAGGCCTTATAATCACAAGAGTATAATACAGCCCTGTAAAGGATCCACAGAATGGCAATTCAATAATTATACATTGTATAATAAAGAAAGATAAACTGATAGAGGGAGACATGTTGGTCAAAATCAAGAGAAAAAGGGAAATCAAGGAACAACGAAGTAGTCTGGTAATTTGCAGGAACTCTGAAAATAGATCTACATGTATTTACTTGCATGTAAATGTCAGTGCTATTACTATACATCCTTCTGTCACTTCAATTTTTTTAAAGAGTCTATTAGCTTATTATCTCTCTTTTATCTGAGAAGTCTTCTGAACCAACTGCATGGTTTCCTCTAACACAAACACTCATTAACAGTGTTTTATCATGAAACTACAGCTACACACAGAAATTCTGTTTGGTTCCCATACTTTTGCCTATTCTGGTCTTTAAGACGTCTTTGTCTAATTAAGGTCTTCCGTCTTCACGGAAGACCTTATAGTGATTCTACTGTTTCTTATTAAGGTCTTCCGTCTTCACGGAAGACCTTATAGTGATTCTACTGTTTCTTATTATTATTATTATTATTATTCTTATTATTATTTTTTTGACTTTCTAATTTTGTGCACGCGATTTCTCGGAGACTATTGGGTGGATTGGCATGAAATTTGCAGGGAAAACGTGTCGTAGGCTGAATTTATTTTATCCGAGAGTAAATTCCATTAATCACATCCGGTGCCAAGTTATGGACCATTTCCTGATTTTAAAATGAAATTTTGTCCAGGGATAATCTCAAGAACGGCTAAAGATATCAATGTGAAACTTTTAGGAAATATAGATCATGATAAATTCTAGCCGGGACGTGACTTTTCGTTCGTCGTCGGTACTTCCGGTCGTTACTGGATGCGAATTTAAAAATTCGAATTTTCTAACTTTTTTGTTCTTCAATATTTTTCTTTTATATTAGTAGGGTTAATAGATGCCTTTCCAAAAAGGCTTAATATATAATTTGTTTAAAAATTGATAAATCCAAACTCTAGATATTCGCATTTTAAAATTTGAAGCGGGTCCAAAATGGCGGCTGTCTTCGCAAACTCCGACGAGCAGGTCGGCACTCGGAGATCCTCGGTTGGATCGTTCCTCGCACACTAACTTCGGACGTCAATGGTGTTCTACCATGTTGCTGATACAGTCATGTGATCTTATATGAAATTCCTCCAAATGTTATACCTTTGAAGTTAGTTTCAAGCATGCCCAACACTATGTTTTGCTTTCAAAGACTACTTACATGATGCTGTGATCCAAGGAAGAATTAGACAAGAGAAAAAAATGTTTGAAGAACGTTATGCAAAGTAAAATAGAAAATGAGTTACAAGGCAGTTTCCGGCGGAGAAATGTAATCGATATGATGCATATTTCTCCACCAATCACTTCCGAGGTTTGTATGGAGCGTAGCGGAGTCAGTCGAGGATTGCCGATTGGCAGGTTGGAGTTTACGGAGACATCCGAGCGTCTTGTTGAACGAAACTACCATAAGGATCAATGAAATATGAATGAATTGTTGGATCTTTCAGGTTATGAAATGGATAATCTGTCATTGAAAACATAAATAATCTGACCTCCAAATGCAATAAAATGAGTAATTTGCACGGTACATACAATAATATATATGAGAATGGAGACCATTCAATAGAACATACATTTCAAAGAAAAGGCGCGAAGATTTACTCGTGACGTAATGTATCGTGACTCTTCGTTCATAGTAGAAAAATGTTTTGTTGTAGAAGTGCAGAAAAAGATTAGACGGATACGTTTGTATAAAATACAGGTAATATGGAATTGCATGGAATAAAAAAGTTGAATACACAAAGAATAAAGGAAGTAAACAGTATCATCAGTTCATCAGTAATAGATTATTTGTTATTGTTTAAACTCAAGTAACAAATTCCGATGTGAATCTGCTTGCACAAAATTTGGCTAGCTAGCTCTCATTTTATAATTCCGCATTATATAAAAAAAACTTTTAACCTCCCTGACGCTCGTTACTTCAGGCAATGATACAAAATAAACATTGATGATGGCTGGTAAAATTGCGCTGGTGTAGTGTCTTCCATATTGAATATTCACGAAGGCGATCTGGGTTTAATCCCGAATTTGTTTGCTTAAATTTACGTTTTCAACTTTATAAATGATGTTGAGTGTTTTTTTTTTGTTTTGTTTTGTTTTTGTTAGAGATGATAGAACATGATTTCTAGATTGGCGAAGGGACCTTTTCATGCGTCGTCGTTAGTTCGGGTCGCTTCCGGAAGTGAATTTAAAAAATCAAATTTTTCAACTTCAATATTTTTCTGTATTATTTGTAGGGTTAAGAGAGCCTCCTTTCAAAATACTAAATATATAATTTGTTTTCGAATTGATAAATCCAAACTCTTGATATTTGTCAATTTCACTTTGAAGTGGGAGTTGAAATGGCGTAATGATTTGCACATTGGATTCTCACGCTGACGACCAGGGTTAAATCTCCAGAGTGTCACTTGAATTTACATTTTTATTTTCAAAATCGGACGGAAGACCTCTCATTGCTCGCAATGAGTTTCTAGTTATTATTATTATTATTATTTTTCCGCCCATCTAATTTTGTGCACGCGATTTCTCAAAGACTACTTGATGAAATTTAATGAAATTTGCAGGAACGATGTGTTTTAATCTGAAGTTATTTTATCCGAGAGATTTTTTGGAAAATCACTTCCGGTGCCAAGTTACCGACCATTTTCTGAATTTTAAAAGACATTTTGTCCGCAACTAATCTCAAGAACGGTAAAAGATATCAATGTGAAACTTTCAGGGATTATAGATCGTGATAAATCCTAGCCGGGACATGACCTTTCGTTCGTCGTCGGTACTTCCGGTCGTTACCGTATGCGAATTTAAAAAAATTGAATTTTCTAACTTTTTTGTTTTTCAATATTTTTCTTTGATATTAGTAGAGTTAATAGAGGCATTTCCAAAAAGGCTTAATATATAATTTGTTTAAAAATTGATAAATCCAAACTCTAGATATTCGCATTTTAAAATTTGAAGCGGGTCCAAAATGGCGGCTGTCTCTGTAAACTCCGACGAGCAGGTCGGCACTCGGAGCTCCTCGGGTGGCTAGTACCTCGCACACTAACCTCAAACGTCAACGCTGTTCTATTATTTCGGGTTTAATCCCGATTATGTCTGAATTTTCTTTCTCATTTATTACCTTTAATTTACGTTTTCATCTTTATAAATGATGTTTTTTTTTCTGTGTGAATCCTGCGTATTTGCATTTCTTTTACGTAAATCCTGAAAAATCCTTGCATTTTTGAAGGACCCATGTTATATTTTACGGACATTGGCAAGTTAAACAAAAAGCATGTGTACTTCCTTCAATGGGTAGAATCATCTATACAGCAAGAAAGAAAAGTAGTAATGGCTTTGTTGTACATTGTATTCAGGAGACAAAGAACCAAGAGGTCGTCATTTACCGTAGTTATGCTCAGTATGCTGGGAAGGGCAAAGATTTGACATATGCTGAAAGGTAGACCGTCTGAGATCAGTTTCTAGGTTGTATGAAGGAAGCAGCATTTAGTAACTACTAATAAAAATTGAAATAAATCCATGCCAATATTTTTATGACAATGTGTTTCAATCAATTCAGTCAATTACATGATAGAATCAATCAACCAGTCTGACTCTCTTGACCCTCATGGATAATATGTAATTATAGCTGTTAAGGGAAGTAACTCAAAAATAGAGATCGGTGCCGGTATGTCCTTGTCTTGTTTCTATATTTACATTTTTAGCTAAAATATCTAGAAGTCATAGGAAATGAAAATAGATAATACATATAAAACAAAAACCATATGAAATAAGTGAGTTTTGGAGAAATATTATGGCGAAAAATTATGTAGGTCCCTTTTATCAACATTTTACATAGGAAATGCATTGAGAATTGCAAAAACACTGATTTGACAAAATCTAAAAAAAAAAAAAAAAAAGAAGAAGGTTGGCTTGGTAGGTTAATCAATCCAGAATATAGCCTGTTTATTAAAATTAAAACTACTCTCAAGAGTTCTTGAAAAATTCTATACGAGAAGTTGTCTAAGCAAGAACTCGAAAACGGTAAGACACCAAACTTACATGAGCAACAGTCCTTAAGATGTAGGCAAAACCATTTGGGTTCAGAGCGTCAGCCGTCACTTCCAGTCGTCACAGGAAGTGATAAAAGAAATAGAAAATTTCAACTTTTCTTTTTTTAATTAAAAATTGCATCACTTTATTGCATCTTTTTCGCAGATTCGAAAGATGTTGGTCCCACCGGAAACAAGATCTACAATTTCCGGTTATATGAGATAAACTAAATAATTTGAGCATTTTACTTTCCAATAAATATTCTTTATAGATAAAGTATTTGAAATGAATTTTAAATATGTTATTCAGAGTGCAAATGTCTAGAGTAACCTTGAAAACGTCAACTTCCGGTTTAAGGAAATAGCACGTTGGATTTTCACGCTGACGACCAGGGTTAAATTTCCAGAGTGTCTGAATTTCTTTTATCAATTTTTCAGCTTGAATTCTCGTTTTTATTTTCAGAATCGGACGGAAGACCTCTCATTGCTCGCAATGAGTTTCTAGTGTTTATTCATTATTATTATATCTCTACTGATTTTTTCCCTATATAACATTATATCGTTAGATGTGGCTAATTCCCTAGAAATTGTTATGAATGGACTAATCCCTGTATGTTAGTCAAGTGAGCTAATCCCCACATCAAAAGCAAATTCCCGGTTATCTGTAATCCTCTAGATTTTACTTTTACATTGGTATGATATGTGAATGGACTAATCCCCGTGTGTTAGTTCAGTGAGCTAATCCCTGCTATGAAATCACGCTTTCTGAATCCTCTAAATTTTACATTTGCATCGGTATAATAAAACAGTTAAAAGCATATCATTGCAGGAGTTAGCAAGATTCCAGTTCCCCTCGACCAGGACTATTTCCCTCGGCTTCGCCTCAGGAAATAGCCCTTACCTTGGGGAACAGGAATCTTGCTAACTTCCTCAATGATATACTTTAACTGTATAATAATTCACAAATATAAATCAATACATTACATATACCCCCAGTTGACTTTTTCTATATAAATGCGTACCCTCAGGTATGTATCCTACATAAATACACACCCCAAGGTTGATATATAAATGCATACCCTCTATCCTCAAAATAGACTATTCCTATATAAATACTGTATAATAGGTATTTTTTTGCAGCTGAAAATTTTTGCGATTTGACCCCTGAAAGGTAGCAATTTAATTTTTACATTTTTAATTTCTGCGGTTGCATTATACGGCAGAAAATTTTTTTGTGGGAAATGACCACCAAATGTTAAATTGGCAGAATACTGCATCATTTTACATATTTTAAGTTTTACAGGACCCTGCATCAGGTGAATTAGAATCGATAAGGATCGAGGCCTGCTACTCTTCTCTGTTTCAGTTAATTTTTGTGAATTGTTTTCATATCATTTATTTCATACCCTGGTAAGCTTAAAAATAATTTAATATACAGTTATTAGTTATAATTTTACACATTACAGCAGGTGAAAAACTACCTTAACATACGCACCACTTACAGCATATTGGAATAAATGATGATGCGATTACAAAATATCTTAATGTTTTAAGAATATTTTGCGATTATAATTTTTGCGTATTTCTCCTATCCGCAAAATACCATAAAAATTTGACAACTGCAGAAAATACCCATTATACGGTACATAAATCAAGCTGATTGTTCTGAAATAAATACATACCCTCCAGTTGACCTGTTTTATGACTTGAGATGTGACTTTATCACGAAGCTCTAGATCCACAGTCATGTAAGAATTTTCTAATGGATCTGAGGTTATGTTGACAATATCCACCACAATAGACCGTCGTGTCACGGATATATTGGAAGAAGACAATGAAAAGCTTGCGACGACTGGATAAGTAACAACAAAGTCAATAATGTACCCTGAGCCCATGTGACTGATGGCAAGGTCTGTAAAGTTAGCCCATCCATTGTTGTATTTGGCAGTCCTTTCACCCAGCAACTGGGCTGCAGGATCACCAGTACCATTCCTCAACGTGGCAGTGATTTCCCATGGGTTTACATTGGTACCAAGTTTGTTGACTACATTTCCCTGTTCATGAAATAGTCAATTTTCTTGATATGTACACAATTGTTTTATATTGTATAAAATTCTGAATTAAAGTTACACAGTGAGTTAAAATCATCTGTTTCTTTTATCACAAAGGGAAAGATTTATGAAAAATATGAGTTAAGCAAAGTTTTTACAAACTCAACTGCACTGTAAAGCAAGAAAGATTGTCAGAAAAACAAAGGTCGTATCTACTGTATCAATGTTATTGTCCATGTCAAGGTCACATGACTTTTATTTTTAGTATAAAACTTGTACACAACATTGAATTGGAGCAAGCAAAGGTGAGGAATATGTTCTTATAATCTTTTTTTGAAGATTCTATAGTAGATTACTTATGTACAAATTTGAAAATGTTTTGTTGAAATTTTTTAGAGCTATCATGTCACAAAAAAAGTATTGATGGACAGACAGACAATGGGATTTCTGTTTAGGTCCTTCACATTTTCCTGCTGGGCCCTAATTAACATTTTTTGTCTTCCTTTTATCATTTATAAAGTGACACAACAATAATGTTGAATCTAATAAAATTACCAAGTAAGCAATATTTTTTTCACAACTTACATTGGCATCATAGACTTGCAGTTTGGGTTGACTTGAGAAAGGTGCTCCTTCATGTATGGGTATAACAGGGGTGTATAGCCTCATCAAATTAGGCTGAACCAGTTCCTGATAACGTTCTTCATTTGTCTCCTCCGCCATTTTTTGCCAGTTTGGGTCAGTAGGGTCAGGAGGAGGCTCAGAAATTGAAGCACCGGTGATGTTAACCAGGCTACGTAAAGTAGTTCCTAGCTGCACCTCGTTCACTATGGTCGTGGTGATGTTTTGTAGCTCACCAGATGACAGATCTCCAGCATCCGCAGTGGAATTTACCTCTTTGATTTTAAAAGAAAATCAAAACAATATTATATTATGACAAATTGTTTCTTTATGGTTATCAAGCTTTGAAAACATTCAATATTACTTGTCAATGACCAGCTGCAGAATATCATTTCCTTTTCAGCTCACCTGAGCTGAAGGCTCAAGTGAGCTTTTCAGATCGAAATTTGTCCGTTGTCTGTCGTCGTTGTCGTTGTAAACTTTTCACAATTTCATCTTCTTCTCCAGAACTACTGGGCAAATTTCAACCAAACTTGACAAAGAGTATCCTTGGGTAAAGGGGATTCAAGTTTGTTCAAATGAAGGGCCACACCCTCTTCCAAGGGGAGATAATTACAAATTAGTGAAAAAATAATGGCATCATTTAAAAATCTTCTTCTCAAGAACCACTGGGCCAGGAAAGATGAAACTCAAGTGGAATCATCCTCAGGTAGTGTAGATTTAAATTTGTTCAAATCATGACCCCCGGGGGTAGTGTGGGGCCACAATGGACAATCAAAGTTTTACATAGGAATATATAGGGGAAATTTTTTAAAAATCTTCTTCTCAAGAACAGCAAGGCCAAGATTGGTCATATTTATATGGAGGCATCCTCAGGTGGAATAGATTTAAGTTTGTTCAAATCATGACCCCCTGAGGTAGGGTGGGGCCACAATATAAGATCAAAGTTTTACATAGGAGTATATTGGAAAAAAAATTAAAAATCTTCTTCTCAACACAGCAAAGCCATGATCGAGAACCACTGGGCCAGGAAATATGAAACTCATGTGTAATCATCCTCAGGTAGTGTAAATTCAAGTTTATTCAAATCATTACTCCCAGGTGTAAGGTGTGGCGACAATGGACGATCAAAGTTTTACATTGGAATATATAGGAAAAATCTTTAAAAATCTTCTTCTCAAGAACAGCGAAGCCATGATTGGTCATATTTATATGGAAGCATCCTCAGGTAGTGTAGATTCAAATTTGTTCAAATCATGACCCCTGAGAGTAGGGTGGGGCCACAATGGACGGTAAAAGTTTTACATAGAGTATATAGGAAAAATCTTCTCAAGAACAGCATGATTGGTTATTTTCTATTCAGAAGTATCCTAGTAGTGTAGATTCATGTTTGATGAAAATCATGACCCCCTGGGGATAAGGTGGGGCCACAACTGATGATTAAAGTTATGCATAGGAATGCGTAGGAATTTTTAAAAAAAATCTTCTGAAGAATGACCCCTGGGGGTAGGGTGGGACCATAATGAAAGTTCAAACTTGTAGGGAAAAAAGTCACAGTTAGTCAAAGAAATATGTAAGCATCTTTAGCTAGTATAGATTCAATTTTGTTCAAATCATACCCCCCTTTTAGGGGTAGGTCAGGAGCACTTATGCATTAAAGCTTTTCAATACTGAACTGATTTTTGCTTTTTTCCTGGCCATGGTGCTCAGGTGAGCGATGTGGCCCATGGACCTCTTGTTTTAATAACCTTGAAGTGGTGCCCACAGTTGTAATATGACCTTATATCTTCTTTACAAATATTTTTGACAAAGATAGATGATAATAAAAAGATAAAATGCATCTTTTCTTTTTAAAAGATAAGAATTTGGAGCATTAAGATCACAGGTTCAAGATCCAGACAAAATAACTGTTCCTTATTCATTTCAGATATAATATTTTCAGGGATATTATCATTACTTATCCAGGGAAAAAAATTATCATTATCACAACTTACCAAGGAAGGGGTGATTATCACCACTTACCCTGGGGGTGGGGGGTGGTGGTATCATTATCACATCTTACCCTGGGAGGAAGGATTATCATTACTTACCCTGGGCGAGAGAGGGGATTATCATTACTTACCCTGGGAGAGAGAGGATTATCATTACTCACCCAGGGAGAGAGGATTATCATTACTTACCCTGGGCAAGAGAGGATTATCATTACTTACCAAGGGAGAGAGGATTATCATTACTTACCCTGGGAGAGAGAGGATTATCATTACTTACCCTGGGAGAGAGAGGATTATCATTACTTACCCTGGGAGAGAGAGGATTATCATTACTTACCCTGGGCGAGAGAGGGGATTATCATTACTTACCCTGGGAGAGAGAGGATTATCATTACTTACCCTGGGAGAGAGAGGATTATCATTATTTACCCTGGGAGAGAGAGAGGATTATCATTATTTACCCTGGGAGAGAGAGGATTATCATTACTTACCCTGGGAGAGAGAGGATTATCATTATTTACCCTGGGAGAGAGAGAGGATTATCATTATTTACCCTGGGAGAGAGAGGATTATCATTACTTACCCTGGGAGAGAGAGGATTATCATTACTTACCCTGGGTGAGAGAGGGGATTATCATTACTTACCCTGGGAGAGAGAGGATTATCATTATTTACCCTGGGAGAGAGAGAGGATTATCATTATTTACCCTGGGAGAGAGAGGATTATCATTATTTACCCTGGGAGAGAGAGGATTATCATTACTTACCCTGGGAGAGAGAGGATTATCATTACTTACCCAGGGAGAGAGAGGATTATCATTATTAACCCTGGGAGAGAGAGGATTATCATTACTTACCCTGGGAGAGAGAGGATTATCATTATTTACCCTGGGAGAGAGAGAGGATTATCATTATTTACCCTGGGAGAGAGAGGATTATCATTATTTACCCTGGGAGAGAGAGGATTATCATAACTTACCCTGGGAGAGAGAGGATTATCATTACTTACCCAGGGAGAGAGAGGATTATCATTATTAACCCTGGGAGAGAGAGGATTATCATTACTTACCCTGGGAGAGAGAGGATTATCATTACTTACCCTGGGAGAGAGAGAGGATTATCATTACTTACCCTGAGAAGGAGGATTACTGATTTCAATTTCTACTCCGGTTACAACATCAGTTGACCTCTTTCTACGACCTCTTGAAGATGATGTCTCTCTAACAATATTAGTGATGCGTACACGACTGGCATCAATATTTAAAAAGCTTGCCAAATTCATGACAATTCTGTCTCCATAAAATTCATCTGCTGGCATTGCTGGAATTTGGAAAGACACCATCACAGTCTTCACTGTTATGATTTCAACGGGATCAGGACCTTTGATCAACAGAGTAATGATGCCTGAATCCCTATTAAAATAACTGAGTCCTGATTTCTGCTGACACCCTGTAACATTTGGTTTGTAGAAATCTGGCTGCCCAATAGGGGGTGGATCAACCACATATCGTTTATCTATCCCTGCATACCGAGCATTGGGGGGCATTATAAATTCTCCATTGTGGTAGACATCCAATCTCCAGGGTTGGGAGTACCAGATAGACAGAGAGATACAGTCATTTGGCTTGGCATCCAGCAAAAAGAAGCGAGACTTTTGAGGAGAAACACTTGTGTAATGCAGCAAAAATTCTTTCTCTGAAATGGAAATTTATCATAAGAACTTTTTTATTGGGAGTAAAGTTTATTAAAAAACTTTTTTAAACAAAAGTCTTATTTCTGGAATTCATCAGATTACAATTCAAAGAGATGCCAGAGTTTTTCAGTTTGTTTTGGTAAAAAAAAAATCATTGAAAATACTTTAAATAATGTAGTCAGGGACAGTGCTACATTTTGATACGTTTATTATTGTTGATCAGACTTTATTTTAATTTAGGAACTAATGATACTTCTTTAATCCTTAACAAACCTGTAGCAACAATGGCTTGGAAGGTAGACAATCTCTTTCTGCATGTGTAGCCACTACACCAACCATGGTCCTGAGGGCCATTAATCAGGTCCAAATATCCCCCTCCAAGGATGGCCACTGGGGACAGTCGCCTGGTCTCTGTGTCTGCATCCATGCTCTCAATGACCAAACTCTTGTAGTTGAGGTCATGACACTCATAAGCCTGCCAGGCAGCCCGATACTGACAGTTTGACCTGATGATACCTGGAAAAATGACACTAGAAATGACAGTTAACATTTCAAACCAACAAGAGTAGTTTTTTTAAATTCAAGCACATGCATTGAAGCATTATTTATGGAACAAGAAAATCTCTTAATCTTTAGTTCTTAATTCTAATTCTTAAAAGTATAAGATTCTAATTCTTAAAAGTATAAGTGGAAATTTTTGCTAAATGCAAATTTAGTAATTTATCACCAAACATTGGTATATATTTTTAGCGAGAAGTAATCTTAGCGATTCTATAATGTCAAGAGAGATAACTATAACAACCAAGGACAGACATAAGTCAAAAACTTGATTTTGAATATCTCGAGTTTTATTTAACGTGTGCTTAAAAATATGCAGGTTTTTATAATGTGCCAATGTTAACATATGATGAAAATTTTGTTTCCTTATCAAAATTAATTCAAAAGTTATATTGATTTGAAATTTTGACTTAAGTCTGTTCTCAGTTTAATATGGTCTTGGAGCCAGAATGAATGGAAATAATCTGTACCAATATATATACACATAATGATGCTTCACCTTTGTGAGGAGCTATCTCATTAACAGGAATTCTGCTTCCATTGGATCTCACTAACATCTCCTTTGGGATTCTGTAGTCCCCTAATCCCATTTTGGGATTCCCACCCCATTCATATTCTGACTGTGGGATGATAAATCCAGAGGAGTTCAGGAATGTCCCATCTAGATCCTGAAGCAGACACTTCACCTTGGCATCACAAGCCATGTCCACACAATCAGCGGAATTTATCTTACTGTAAACAAAAAAAAGGACTAATAGTGTGGTAAATAATTAATTTACTAATTCCCTTTTTTACATAAAACAAATGGATTCTTACATGTGAAGAACAATAAAAATAATTTCACAAAATGCTAGGGCTGAGTAATAACAAAACTTGAGGGAAAAGTTATTCAGTGACATACTAACCTTCTCAATAAAAATACAGTTCAATAATTCTATAAAGATGTTAAAAACTAGAAATATGTCCATATTACATGAATGCCCTGCCCAATATACATTAGTATTGCAGCAGTAAAAGAAGAAGCACACCTATATATATTCTTTGGTCTGAGACTCGCTCATCTATTATTTAATGGCTTAAAAAAGTCTTGATGTTTAACGTTCATTATATCATATTTAGCAAATTTATATGATCTCTTATTAAAGATGAACTATGAGCAAAAAGAGGAAAACAAGTCATATCTAAAATCATAGGAAGTGTCCAGATCTAAGAACTTTTGACAAAATTCAATCCCTCTCACCAATCTGTCCCAGTGCACAAAGTTTTAAGAAAATATCTTGAACATTTTTTATGAAATCTTGGTACCAGTAACTCCAAAATGAAGGAAAAGTGAGGTACAGGTCATTAGAAAGGTCAAGGTAAGAAAATAATGACACGGTTGAATTGCTCTCACAGATTTGTATTTTCAAATGAGAAGTCTGATTTAAAAATCATTAAAAGTAATGTTGAAGGTCATGAGAAGGTCAAATCATAAGGAAGTTAGGAAGAGAAAACCATGACACAGTTGAAAAGCTCTTAATAATTACGACACAGTTGAATAGCTCTCAATAATTATGACACAGTTGAATAGCTCTCAATAATAAAGGCACAGTTGAATAGCTCTCAATAATTATGACACAGTTGAATAGCTCTCAACAATATGTATCAATTTGTGAATTTTTGGTTAAAATACCTTGAAAGTTACTTTGAAAATGTAAAGTGTGACCGATAGACAGAAGACAAACATGACAAATACTATGTGCCCCAGCCGTATTATGGTGAGGCATAAAAATTATTAGGGAATAGATATCAAACAGGAACATACCAATAAGCTGTGTGTATACATTATTACACATAACTAATAGAACCATCATTTTTTTTTAATTTGATTATGTACAGAATGCCAGTTTTAATATTTTACCCAATATCTGATCTCCAAAAGATAATCTTATTATCCTCCTCCACATTATAAAACTGAATCCTCTCTGTTATAAATGGGTGGTTTCCATCATCATTCTTTTTATTTGGGGCAACTGCGCGGTCACCTTCACTGTTGCATTTATTAGAAAACTTTGAAAATGTCACATCTAAGAAAAATAAAAGACAAAAAAGTACCTGTATCCTAATGTTTAATTTGTAAGTAAGTCTACTTATACAATGCACAAAATGAAGTGTCTACTAACAAAACAATTTTCAAATTCTAATATCCTTCAAAAAATGAATGTGTTTAACATTGAAATGGTATTCTGGTAAATTATTATGAGATATAACTACCCTACAACACAGTGTCTGGCTCTTATTAAAAAAAATATTTTTATTATTTCTGCATGAGGATCTGCACAATTAAAGCAAAAGAAATATTCCCTACCTTGCAAGTGGCATATTCCCTTGATGGCCTGGTAAGACATAATACCAGAGCAAGGCATGTTGGGACAAGCATTACTCCCAGAGGAAAATGTTGGCATGGTAACCCCAACCCGAATAGGGGAACTATGAAACTGCATTTTCTCTTGGCCTATGGCAATATTATCATCTGTCTTATCTCCTAGAGCAGTAGCACAATTCAGCTCATCAGATGTACCAATAATCAGAGAGTCTTTGACTTTGGCATACTTATTGGCATAGTTATGCCCAAGGGAGGCTGGACCCATAACAAACTGGAAAACACTGACTCCATTGTCAGCAGCCTTTAAATTTTCCACGGAGGAACTGGCAGGGCCAATGTAGAAAATGCCGTAGTCCAGGTTCTTCCACAATGTGAAAAATGAGTACTTTACACACTGTTTTAAATAATCTACAAGAAAAGAATTCATTAAGAAGTAGAAATTTATGTCTTTCATGAGAAATTAGAATTTTAATTTAAACAAGAGGCCCAGGGCCACATCGCTCACTTGAGCACTCTGGCTAGGAAAAAGCAGAAATCAGTTCAGTCTTGAAAAGTTTAAATATAAAAGTGGTTGATAGGGATGCTTTTAAGGTCAGACGATACGTTCCTCAAATTCCTGTTATGTAGATCTTCGTAATGTATGAAAAATATTCAAAATTTTAATTAGATTCTGATTTCTAAACCAGTTTCTAATCGTCCTTAAAAAATTCAAACACTAAAAAATTTGATATTGGCAAATTAAATTTTTTCCTAATGGATTATATAAGAAAAACTATCCTCTGGTATCTTGCACAAATGCCTGGTAAGGTACCTCAATTTTTTGTGAATAAACATGCTAAAGTAGCAATACTTCAATGACAAAATCTTGGAAAAAATTATATATTTTTGAGGAACGTATCATCTGTCCTTAAACTAATATGACAAATAATGGCTTTGCTGTTCTTAAGAAAAATTTTTTTATTGATATGTCCTTTGTATAACTATCCCCTGTTATGGCCCCTCTATTCTCCTGGGGGGTTACGATTTGAACAAATTTGAATCTACATTACCTGAGGATGCTTCCATTTAAATGTGACCAATCATGGTTTTGCTGTTTTTGAGAAGATTTTTAAAGATTTTTCCTATGTATTCCTATGTAAAACTTTGCTCGCCCATTGTGGCCCCACCCTACACCCGGGGGTCATGATTTGAACAAACTTGAATCCACACTATCTGAGGGTGCTTCCATATAAATATGACCAATCATGGCTTTCCTGTTCTTGAGAAGAAGATTTTAAAAAATTTTCCCTATATATTCCTATGTACAACTTCGATCGTCCATTGTGGCCCCACCCTACCCCCCGGGGTCATGATTTGAACAAACCTGAATCTACACTATCTGAGGATGCTTCCATATAAGTTTAATATTTTCAAGCACAGTGGTTCTTGAGAAGAAGATTTTTAAATGATGCCATTAATTTTTCATGAATTCATAATTATCTCCTCTTTGAAGAAGGCATGGCCCTTCATTTGAATAAACTTAAATCCCCTTTACCCAAGGATACTTTGTGGCAAGTTTGGTTGAAATTGGCCAAGTGGTTCTTGAGAAGAAGATGAAAATGTGAAAAGTTTACGACAACGGACAAATTCCGATCAGAAAAGCTCACTTGAGCCTTTGGCTCAGGTGAGCTAAAATAGATAATTATTATACATGGGCCAAGCATTTTTACAAAATTTTGCAATTGTTAGTCACAAACACTATAATAGTAAAACAATAAATTTTTATTTGTACTATATATTTAAAGTTTAGCAAACCTGGTAGAGGATCAATGGGCAACAACCCAACTCCAACCAAAGCAGTGTGCACAACATTTCCTCTCCAGGGGTTGATGGCCGACACATCACAGGGTTCTCCCGTGGTTCGAAATCCTAGCCTCTCTGCCCCACCAACATGGTTATCTTGTAAGATCAGATTAGTGGCTTTATGAAGGTTGAAGGCCCCATTGAATCGGAAGTTCGACGTTTCCTTGCGATCTTGGTAAGATCCCTCCCACTGTACTTTGGTCACAAAATTGTTTCTGATGATGGTACTATCACTCATAGATTCCACAGCTGAAATTTTCAATCAGTAGACACTTGAGAACCTCATTAACTCAAAATAATCCTACTAAAAGAATTTTGGGGTCTTTTCTTTTTAATGTAAAATTTTAAGCCCAATACAGATGCTAGGAGTATTTTTTTTTTACATGTGAAAGCAAAAACTAATTATCAGTAGATGCTTTAGTTGGAAATAAGTAAAAAATAAACATGTATCTAAATTTCTATTTCATTAAAGGGTACTGAAGTAACCTCAAAATCTGAATAGAACATAATATTATGAATTTTCTCCTACTTACCAAACCAGACAGTGTCAGCTATAACATTGTCCTCTATTGGTAGGTTATTAGTACCATAAGCCATGATAGCTGGTGAAAATCCTTTGTGGAAGGCACATTTCTTGACGTAGGAAGGTTTAATACTGGAAACTGTCCCGGCATCTACATAAGCAATGGAGCCTCGTGGATCAAAGGGCTCCACCCATCCCTCCTGCCCAGAGTGGTAAAATTCCACATTGGAAATACGTGCAAAACCTTAAAATTACAGAATCAAAGACTTTTCAGCAAATTTTTTCACTAGTATGCAGAAAAAGATATTATTAGCAAATTAATATTTTTTTTGTACAATGTATAAATAAGCTATAAGATTTAAAATTACTTTAAAAAACAAATAAATATATCGGGTTTCCTTGAAAAAAAGTATATCAGGTTGAATTTCAATCTTATACATGCATCTTTAGATTTTATTACATTAAATGTCTAAAGTTTACCACTTTTTCATCATTTTAATCAAATATGTGGACACTAAATAGATAGGTATACAAACAAATCAAGTTCAAAAATTTAAGCTCATCTTACTCCAAATTTAGTAAATTTAAATAATTTACAAACTATATTTCTCATTATAAATCAATACAAAAGCTTTGAATTCAATGTTAGCCTAGAGGTAACAGTAAGGGAGCATTACAGATGATACCCTTCTTTTTAGTCCCCTACCGGTGAAACCGGAGGGGACTATAGGTTTCCTCTGAGTCTGTCCATCCATCTGTCTAGCTGTCTGTCTGTATGTCCCACTTTTCTTCTAAACGCTTGCAGATATTAAGCTGATTCTTGGTATGTGAGTGTATCTTGATGAGTTACAGATCAAGTTTGCATTTCGTTCCGCTTCATTGATTTTTGACGGAATTATGGCATTTTCAATTCTTAATGGGAACCAGATTACACTTGCCGGTAGGGGACTAGTATTGCTAATGCAATACTCTCAGAATGCTTGTTTTTTTTTTATCTGAACTCCTGTACAAAATTTCAAGACAGAATAGGCATGATTTGGACACAGCTAAGGCACAGAACCTGTATGTGTTTTTGAAAAGCTGTACAGGCTCTGCATACCCAACACATACACAGAATCCGAGTCTGAAAGTGAGGTGTTCTTCCTTATGTCAGACTTGGATGATTTTGTCACTTTTGAACTGGATACAACAGTCTAGAGAGGCCATTTGAAATCTTTATCCTTGGATGTTTCAATGCAATGTTGACAGACATTGAAATATGTAGTCTTTGTTAATAAATGACTTTAGCTGGACTTTAACTTAAAGCTGAACATGATTTATAAATGGAAGAGAGTTATCATTGTCTGCCATATACTAGTTAGCCTTCTCAAGATTGTCCTTTTCCAGCTCCTATATAAGCCTCGGCTTTGTTCACTGCTCAATGTATTTTGCTTCAAGGGCTTTACCTCGTGATATAATTGGTCACAACAAAAATGACCTCTGTATGCCTCTGCCACCTCAGGAGAAAAAGTTACCAAATATGTTTGATATCAATAGCACAGGTCAATGTTACAAAGTGAAATAAACACAACTGCATGTCTAATGAAATAAAATGTAAATAAAAAGGACAATGAAAGATATCCATGTACTGCATGCACCAGTGACAAGGTAAAAACAATCAGGTGTAATGATGTGAAGGGTTTATATACCTCAGTGCTGATATAGGAGATAGGAAAACTAATATGGTGTATGCCTATTTACAGTTCATATTCAGCTTTAACACTTTCATTTTATTTTACGTGTCATCACTGTGATAAAGAAAGTTATGATTTAATTAATTTCTTTCTCAGATTGAACAGACTTCGTTTGAATTACAATAAAATTGTGCATAATCATTTGAGTCTTCATTAGAAATTAATATGAAATTTAAAATGATATAATTGTAGATATATTTTATAGAAAATGAATGAGGGCATGCTTATATATGATTCCAAATTTTACAAAATCCTAAAACTGATCATTTTAATAATTATGTAAAGCATTGTACAGTTTGGTTTCAGTCTCCATTTTGGCATCTACAGTAACATCAGAAGATTCTCTAAGATGCTGACCTATAGATACAGATGAATGCACAGATTCCATGACTCCATATATGGTATGTCAGACAGCCTTTTTTGACATGGGCTTCCCAAATCTGTGTCTCCAGATATGGAAAATCACTCGTTTCTTGCATGGGGTTTTTCAGAATCTGTGAGTCCATATAAGGAAACTAGCATTCCTTTCTGGCACAGGTTTTGTAAAACCATGTGATCTAATAGTGCTAGATCATTTTGAGATATCCCTGGTATTTGAGATATCATTGTTCCAGATAATGAAGTTCATTATGAATTGTTTGTGAATTATGTAATGTATACTTTTACTTAAATTTTCTAAAATTGAATACTGTGTAATAGGTATTTTCTGCAGTTGGATATTTTTGTGATTAGACCCCTGAAAGGTAGCAAATTTATATCTGCATTTTCAATATGCCACAAAAATTTATTTATGGTATATGAACCACAAATTCAAAGGATTTGGCAGAACACGGTACATGAACCTCAAATTCAAAGGATTTGGCAGAACACTGCCATGTTTACATTCGATTGAATTTATTTGAAGGAATGTTGACCAAGAGTGCATTAAAACGATTACTAAACTACGAGTTATGAAATAACATTAAAACAGGTTGACTGACTTTTCTGACTTGCATGTACAGAATATCTGAATTAATTCTTAAAGAATATTTTGTGATTGTAATTTTTGCGGATTTGTCCTATCCGCAAAATTCTGCAAAAATTTTTCAACCGTAGAAAATACCCCTTATACAGTATGCAATTTTTAATCACTTTCTGCAAGAAAATGAAACCATGTTTTCCACTTTTGAAACAAGCATGACACTCATGTATATTATCAAGACAAATCACTAGATTTTACAATTTTGGTTTCTTAAATTTTGAAGACATAATTTAATATTTGGATTTTATGCAGAATCTCCATTAAACACCCTTTATTATATAAATCCATATTCTGCTGTGGCTGTCCTCCAGGAAAACAACCATGGCTAAATGAATCTGCTACGGCCATTGATAGGATGTATGATTTAAAAAGATTAAATGGAGTACTAATAGTTTGACAGGTTTTATCACTCAACACTCACCTATATATAAAAGATTAGTGTTATTAGGGTCCTGTGTTCGTCCCACAACAATTCTGGCCCCAAATGACTCCTTGTATAACTTGTCATAGGTGGCTCCCTCCACTCGTATATTTCTAGTGAGGAGGCCCACCTCGGCTGCCATGGTCATTGACTTGTTACCAGCTGTTTCTGTATGGGCTGAAATGAATAAATTGAAGTTTTAAGAAATACAGGAGCATTCATAAACCCTATGAAGTTGTAAAATTAATGCTTAATAGAGTATTTGCTAAGACCCCAAATCAGTTCTAATTCCCAAATGAGAGGCCCATGGGCTAAATTGCCCTGTTGTTTTTCATCAGTAGATTTCCCCCTATATATTCCTATGTAAAACTGTTATCTCCTTTTGTGGCCCCTCCCTACCTCAGGGGTCATGATTTGAACAAACTTAAATCTACACTACCAGAGAATATTGCTTCCTTATAAATGCTTTGCTATTCTGTGAAGATCTTTAATCATCTTTTCATATAGATTCTTACGTAAAACTTTGATAACCCATTGTGGCCCCATTCTACTCCACAGGGTCATGATTTTAGCAAACTTGATTCTACACTACCTGAGAATGCCTCCATGTAAATAAGACTAATTATGGCTTTCATTTTTTCCTATACAATCCTAAGTAAAACATTGATTGCCCATTGTTTCCCCACCCTGCCCTCATGGGTCATGAATTGAACAAACTCGAATCTATGCTTTCAGACAAGTTTCATCTTTTCTGGTTCTTGAGAAGAAGATTTTTGAAAGATGCAAATAAATTTTCACTAATTCTTCTAATTCTTTATTATCTCCCTGAAAGAGGGCATGGGATTCATTTGAACAAACTTGAATCCTCTTCATCAAAGAATGCTCTATGCCAATTTTGGTTGAAATTGGCTCAGTGGTTCTTATGAAGACATTGAAAGTGTGAAAAATTTACAGACAGATGGACACTGGACAAAATGTGATCAGAAAAATTCACCTGTGCTTTCAGCTCAGATGAGCTAAAAATGAAAATTTCACACATGCAGAATTATATTTTGAAGAAGAATCATTGAAATACTCCCTGAGGAAATCTAGATTGTGGGCCTTTATTATCAGTCATGGATTAGCACCATAAGTATTCCTGATGAAGTGTGCTTCATGAAAAATATGCCTACATGCAAGTCTGTGTGATTTACACACCAATAATTCACACTAAACTTAAAAACATTCCTTATATTCACATTTTACATGTTCAAAAGCACCAAAAATATACTCAATGTTTGAATTATTCGCTGCCCTACATTGTTACATTTTTATTAACGTGTCTGTAGCTCATTGTGATGTCACTTTAACGTGAGTTTCTCTGTGCATATTTCTAAGCGTGAGTATAAAATGGCATTCAAATCAATTTCAAAGTTGGCTTAGTAGAAAAAAACACAGCAAATGTAAATATAGTGAAATATTCACCAGCTGATATAAGAAAAATCCAGTCTTTAATAAACTATGATCCTCTACAAGTCTCTATGTTTTATATGCCTATACCTATATGCTTGTACTCTATGATCTTTTATATGCCTATACCTATATGCTTGTACTCTATGATCTTTTATATGCCTATACCTATATGCTTGTACTCTATGATCTTTTATATGCCTATACCTATATGCTTGTACTCTATAATCTTTTATATGCCTATACCTATATGCTTGTACTCTATGATCTTTTATATGCCTATACCTATATGCTTGTACTCTATAATCTTTTATATGCCTATACCTATATGCTTGTACTCTATGATCTTTTATATGCCTATACCTATATGCTTGTACTTCAGTGTGCTGTTGAGGGTCAAGGTCCGGCCATTACTGGAAACAGCAGTGACTGCAAATGTTTCTGTCTCCCAAACCGAGAAATCTGTAGGAGCAATCACTATTTCACTGCCTACTTTCCATGTGACTGATGATACCAGGCTTATCTGGTTGTCTCCCGGATTGGCTGTAACCCCCAACATTGTCCAGGAAGTTCCAACATCCCTCCCATGTAAGTCAAGTCCACCAAATGTTCCTAGTATTACATGTAATTTGATTCATGAAATGTTTTTAATGTTTCAAGCTAACATCTAACAATTTTTGCTTTAGGGCTCAGTTACACCTTACAGGATAGTGCTAATAGACATCAGACGGATATAGCCCAATTTTCAATCCATTTGTCTCTGTTATATATATTTCTTGTCTGTTTCTCATTTGGTGAAAACATTCAATGTCCAGAGAGGTCCAATTAAGTTTGTTATATTAACCAAAAGTTTTGAGCTTGTTTTAAAATTTGGATTGGGCCCTTCTGGACTTGAGTGTTCACTAAAAGTGCCAAAGGTCCATTTTAAAGTGCAGCAGGTTTGGAACTCATGTGCTTCTTCTGCACTTGACCAGTCTGCTTTTGTTGATATTCCTCGAACCCAATTAAGTCATGGCTTGATAATTAGCGGTTGTGAAAAAGAAAAACCGAATTTGCTCAGTGCATGGAATGGATGACCGTTAGTCTAACAATTGAAAACTATTTTCCAGTTTCCCATGCATTGCTCATTCCTTTTACATGGTTCTCATTCTATAGCACTATCTGGTACAATGTGACGGAGTCTTTGAATCCTTCAATTGCCAATTCACAAAAAAAATTGTCTTTTGACTAAGGATTACGAGACCCATTTTTGTAATAAAAATTGTAAAGCATATAATTAGTGAATACTAATTTCTTTAACTACCACATATCCCTTTTTTTTCACGTGTTGCAAATTTAAAAAAAGGGTATATTTTTATTTTGTGTAAGTTATTTTTTGCGATTTTAAAAAATAAATAAAAAAAGGTAATGTTTTTACAATGGAGAGAAATGTCTCTAATTTTTGTGTATTTTATTTTTTGCGAGTTAAAAGTGATCACAAAAATGCGAAAAATAAATCTTCGTGAAAAAAACGGATTATACTGTATGTCTTTTTATTAGGTATCAATTTTCAATTTGTTTTAAAAACATTAATATTTTTAAGGTTGTCATTTTAACAGACCAGCATGTAAAATTAACATACAGTACCTATAGCTTTAGATCCAACCTGTGGTCCCGAATTCATTGGATAAGGTGGTGTAGAATGCTCTCCATTCAAGAGGATCAAAGCCCGACCTAGAAAAGGTTTGTCTGGCCATCCAATAATTAAACGACCCCCTAGGATAACGATGTAGGTACAGTTTAAGACAAAGTTCCTAGTTCCATTAGCATCATCTAGTTCTAGAGTACCAAAGAGAACCAATTTGCCCATTGCAGGAAGGTCTGTGTCTGCCACCACCCATTGATCTAATGCAGAAAAATCACAAAAAAAGAACTTTCACAAATAATAGATTACACCAGTTCTATTATTTCATTTTAATTCCAATGTACTTTAATTGTTCTATTAAAATCTGAAAATCTTTGCATATATTATTGAATAACACCATAATATATTATATAAACTATACATCAATTACAATTTATAAAATAATTTATAAAAACAATAGTTTCCCTTTTGTCTTATAAACTCTATATTGAAAAAAAATTAAAATGTGAATACCTTTATTAATCTTCACATTATCTCCGTCTTTAGGGAGATCATACGTGCCATTACTGATATAACCACCCCAGCCCATCTCCGCATTTTTCCAGGTCTCCTTGTCTGACCAATATTCAAAGTCGTAAGGTCTGCTTGTGACTGGTGGTACAGTATTAGGGTCCACTGGAGCCTTACAGTCCAGATAGAAACACTTAAAGGCCCGGAAACTTACACTATAGGTGATGTCATCATCCACACTGCGCTTACGTCTCGATGTTGCCTTTCTGGATGATACTGGTTAAGGAATAACAGCTGTTTTTATAACGTTTAAGAGTGTTTCATATTTTAAATTATAGAATTTATATAATTATTTTATTATTAAATTGTACAAAATTGTAAAAGAGAGGTAGTTCACCTTCCATTAAACTATTTGAAAAGGATTTTTTACTGATTAAATAAACATATATATATATATATATATATATATATATATATATATATATATATATATAAAAATATATAAAACATATTTTGTATACGACACAGACTTTAAATACATGTACTTACAGATGTATCGGATCTCGTTATCATTTTTAAGGTATTCCCACTGACCATGGACAGTATTGCCATCAATATTTCTTGTTGGCTCGATGTTTGTGCTCCCGTCTAACATAAACCTGTCAGGCCTGGCTGAAACCTTCTGTCGCATGATTACGTACTCGTAACCTCCTGTACTGTTCTGTAAAAAACTCAGATTTAAAGAAAAACAAAACAAAACACAGACAATTTTGAGATTTTAAGGAATTAATCTGAAAAAAGGGATTTTCTGAAGTAAAGAAAATTCAAAAACAAAATTCCTAATTGAAGAAAATGGTTCCTTCTCTTACCTTCTGAAATCGATCAAATGTACCAGTGTAACTTATGTTGGTCAATTGATCAGCATCCTTGAAATAATAAAAATATTCTTCTCCATCTAAAAGTACAGTCATCCAACCCAACTTGTGGGTGATAGCCTTCTTCCTCCATGGCATCGAGTCATTTCCATGACGATTAACAATCACAAAGTCTTTGTAATTCAGTGCCTCAGGACTGATACCATTAAAAGAGAAGCGATGGTATTTGACTTCTGGGGGACAAGCTTTTGCTGGAATACTGCCACTTAGGTTGCTGCTGAATTTAGCAAATGATACACAGGTCGGTGGTAAGGTATCTGATGCAGAACTTACACTTTTGCCAGCATTAGCAGCAATGGAGGCAGCATTGCCCGTCTCTCCTATCAATGTTCCGTCAAGATCTCGGATAATCCCAGCCCAGGGCCACGGAAATGTGCCTTTATTTGGAGCAGACACCCACTTAAGATTTCTCGTCTCATAATAAAATCCTCCACAATGCACAGCACAAGTGCCAGCAATCCTAGCAAAATCAAAACCAACACAATTGCTCTCATCAAAATTAACAAATCGGATTCCATCAATGGTCATTCCATTGCCGTATGGAAGAACAAATGCAGCTCTTGTACAGCCCTGTTCTTCTCGGGTGAGACTTGAAGCATGCCCAACAATCAGCAGATTCTTGAAAAGTTGGTCTCCCTCGATGATTAGTTTTCCCTCATATCCAGCCAACTTATTATTTACCAGCACAAAATCCCTACACTCAAGTGCCCCACCATTAACAATTTCTGCACCTTTCTCATTATTCCAAGCAGTGAGGGATTCAAACAAGGACATGGCAGGTTTGGTTGAACTACATCCACCTCCTTCTCGAGTCTTAATAGTTGTAAAAATCCACAGACCAAACCACCCATTGGAGTGAGCTGTGTTGTTCCTGAATGCCCTTACAGGAATATGTTGTGGACAAATACTACTGTCAAATGAAGGACCATCTGGATGTGTATGCATTCTGTACCAAAATCCAAAATGTGTGCCACCTACTGCTCGATTATGCTGAATCGTGTTATCTGGATTAGTTACCCAATATGCTGCTGGTGTAACATCATCATTTTGAAGACTGCTTGACTCTCTTACAAACATTAATAAATTGTATTGCACAGTGCTACCAGTTTCTATTCCATCCTCAAAGAAAAAAGCTCCACCCATGACATTGTAAGCAACATTGTGTTCCACAAGGACATTGTGGGATCCATGAATATTAACAGCTCTGTTGAATGTGTTATAGATTCCACAGCCTCTAACATAGGACCCATTGGTATCTCCATTCAGATGGAAGTGAATTGGATATCTCCCAAGTCTGAAGGCTTGACCAGCATGGGTCACCTCCACATATTCCAGACGAGCATGTGACATACTTCCAGATTGTTTTGGGGAGTGGATCATGATTTGGGCTCCAAATTGGTCACTTCCCATCTCCTCTCCAAATCGACCCTGGAAACAAGTTTGAGTTGCAAACTCCCCTAAAAATGAAAAGAATGCATATTATATTTACAGTCTTACTTTAACAAGTTCTTGATTTGACTTTTCAATTCATGAGAATGTTCTTTACTTTTAAATACCATACTTTTTGAGATAAATTACATAATTTTTTAATCTGGATTACTGGATTAGGGTGCACAAATTACACAGGTGTTTACCTCTTTCTGCAGTTTTTTTTTTAAAGTAATGTGTTTACTGTCTGTAATTTGAGCTTTATGTCAGTAATCTCATTTTGGCAATACCCTGATTTGCTTTTTCCCATGTGCATTTGATAACTTTTAGATAAAAATAGTTTTTGATTGTAACAATGTAGGTAATTATCTATTTAGTCAACATGAATGACAATCAAAGTATGTATCTTTTAGGCCTTCCTGTGAATTCTTATCATTGTTAAACACTTATACAGCTTTGGAGGGGGGAGGGGATATTGGAGCATATGAAAGCGTAATTTCCAGAGGTAAATCTGTAATCTGTATTTTGATACTAAAATCTGGAACTAATATGGAATTTCCTCAAATAGTAGCTCTGAAATTATATAATATTATTCTGGTGAAAAGGAAAGTGAAAAGATGTGGCTAGACTGATATACACAATTTACCAGTATCAAATCCATCAGGACAAGCTTCAATTTTCTCCACAAACTCTGAATTACTGTCTCCTCTCACAATGATATTCCTAGAAAGCATTCCAACTTCTGCTCTGAAATCCACATCTGTCCCATCAAAAGTTTCGGTGACCCCTAGATGGTCGTACTTCAATGGTTCCGTCAAGGTTATAGTCCTGTTGTCACTGTCTACAGACTGAATGATTCGGAGCTCCGTCTCCTTTTGAGAATGTCTGTGGCTTGTTGTTGCTATAACAATTTTGTCCCCAGCTTTCCAGGTTACAGCCTCTCTCAGAACAATAGTAGAATTTCCTGCCAGAGCAGTTGTTTCCAATGTAGTCCATGGTACTGGAACTGGTTTTCCTAAAATCAAGAAGAAAATTTAATATTTTGAAAATTTAATATCTTGACTTGTGCGGTATTTTTTCTAAAATAATTGTCTCCTTTTCATATCTCTCTCACTCTAAATGTTCTTTCTTTTTCATATGAGTATATCTTATCAAGATTGTAATCTACACGTCATATGAAACAATAAGATTAATTTATATCCCAACAAACCATGGAGCTCCAGATTTCCTTCTCTAACTGCCAGTGACTTGGTGCCATAAATAGGGTATTCCTTGGTACGATGATTTCCATACAGTGTTATTTCAGCCTTGTGCTGGAAAGGCTTTTCTTTTGTTCCAACCTGTTTAATATGATGAAATCTTTGTTGAAGGAAAAATCTTACTTTAAGTCATGTGTTATGATTTCCTGATCAATGTAAACATAGGTAATCAAAGATTACAAAGCTCACCACGACAAATGCTATCTAAAGGTAAGACAAAATCTCATATAAAACAAGTGTTCTGGTAGTGTGCATCCCTAGATACATCTATACAATTTTGGTCCAGGTTCTATAGATAATTGAAAATGGACCTGCTTCAAAAATTTTAACAGTTCAATCACACTGTAAATGTAGGTCAAATCCAGCTTCTAAAGCATGTCTGGTAGTGTGCATACCTAGTAACATGCATACTCAATGCAAGTTCAGTCACCATAGGGCTTGGTAGTGGACCAGCTATTAAACCTGTTCATTCACCTGGAAAATGTAGGTCAGATCTAGCATCTAGTGCAAATCTATAGTGTACATCCCTAGATGCATCATTCATGCAAGATTCAACACCATGGGGCTTTAAGTTACTTGGGAGTGAACACCCTTCAATAAATGTAAGTAAGATTCAGCATCCGAAGCAAGTTTGGTAGTGTGCATCCCTAGATGCATCCTCTATGCAAGTTTAGTGCAGGTAAGGCTTACAGTCACTTGCAAATGAAACTACTTCAAAAACTTCAGCCTTTTTAGTGCTTATCCAGAAAATATAGGTCAGATCCAGCATCCTAAGCAAGTGTGGTAGCATGCATCCCTAGATGCATTATTTGTGCAAGTTTCATATAGGTAGGGCTTACAGTTGTTACTTGGGAATGAACCTGCTGTAAAAACTGATATGTCCACTCATGCAGGAAATTAGGTCAGATCCATCATCCAAAGCAAGACTTGAAGTGTGCATTCCCAGATGCATCATCCATGTAAGTTTGGTCTAGGTAGGTCTTATAGGTAAAATCCACCTGTGACGTCACTCTTTTGTTTGAGCGCTCCATTATTTTACAGGAATGGAGAGTTGCAAATTACACTGAAAACAGAATTTGTTATGTTCATATTCTCCTTCCCGTACCTCTACCGAGGAAAGAACTTAGAAAATTTTAACAAGTTTATTTTCACATAAAGAAAATAAATGTGGCACTGTTGAAAATCGAACCCGGTACCTTCAACTTCGGGGTCAGGTACTCATCTCACTAAGCTATCGAAGCTGTTGAATGACAGCAGATTTAAATAACTTCAGTAAACTTTTTTCACCTTACTTTCTGTATATATACATGTAAATTAATACTACTAATATGTTAAATGTATATTTACAATGTATCTTACAAATATTCTTTCTTACATATTAACAAACAATACATGTAATTACAAGCATTTAAAAAGGTGGATTTTATGTGGGTTAATATACTCGTAGCGCTCCGTTCCTTAAAAGCAATGGGCCTCGGCCCCTCAGGGGGCCTCGGCTCCATTACTTTTAAGGAATGAAGCGCTGGTTGTACATTAACCCTTACTTCCTTAGGAATGAGACCAGGGGTATAGCAAAATCTCATCTCAACTTCATCGAAGTGATCGAACTAAAAATGGAACAAGTGACCAATGAACTTTACCATCAACAACTTCCTAAGACACATATCCTGTTTTTTCCCCTGTACACACATATTCATATGTAATAAAATCTGACACACTATATGCCTCAAGAGCCATAATTTCAACAAATTTGAATTTACACAGCATAAGGTTATGTATGAGGACATTAAATTGTAATCTTGGAATTAATTTTCAATTCTCTTTACATATACTGAAAGGAAAAAGAAATGCACAATGACCATTTGAAGTGAATTAAAGCTACACATTTTCCAGTATTGTTATCAAACATTTAAAATCATCTTTACCGTAATCAATAAGTTACCAAAATCTTATGTGATTTTGACTGATACATGTAAATCAAGAGTTATTGAAATTCATATGACAGTACCCCCGAAAAGTGAAACTAAAAATTCATCATCTCCCTTGCACATCTGTCACGTTCTTGATTATCCTGCGCATGGAGTTCATCAGTGCATTTATCTTCCTTATAGGGATATTATTCAACCCTTCAGACAACGCAGTCCTTGGTGGTGAGTAGCTCAGCAGGAGCATTCCAAAACCTTCAAACTCTACCATCCAGTTAGTCTCACAGATTTTTGATTGGAGAAAAAAGATAGAATTTATGGGAACCAGTTGATTTAGAAAATGTGATGTTTGTTAGAAGGTCTTGACAAACTCTGACTACACTTTCCCGGGGTGTAAATGCTGAAAAAATAGGGATAGGACACATATGTGCGTGATTGAGAGTAATTCTGACGTAAAGTTGCTGAGCTCACAGACCAAAATAGAGCAATATGGGTTTTGTTCAGTTTTAGGGTAAATGTAACAATTATGATTGCCTTGATGATTACAGAGGTAGCAGAATGAAAAACCCTATACTGATTTGACGTTATTACGCGACAACGTCACCATTACGGTTGGTTGGAAACCTTCCAAGTTACTCTCTGATAACTGATAACATGTTCCTTGGTGGAAAAATTAAAAACAAACTGAACAGCAACATGTTGTTGTCTTTTTCTTCACTTTGGCAATTCAATTATTAGACCCAAAGAAACTACATCTGTCAATCGTACCATAATTGCAAGAAATTCATACTGACTGCAAATATGCAAAAATGGTGTCTATACCTCAAGTGCATCAGGTGGTACTACAAAATATGTCAACAAACCTGTCATCATCAATATGCATGTTTTTGGCTTTTTACCACTTTCCCAAAATGGGAGGTCAGACATTTCATGGTTGAGTAATTTTGAACAAAGATTAAGAGCACGATAACCAAGATATACCTCTGACCAGTTTTCATAATTTTCGGACACATATAGTCAAACATATTTCGCACATTATGTTATCATGTGTTTCTTTTTCCTTTCAGTATGTTTTACAAGTATCTATTTATTTTTACCAGTATGTTAACATTGCAGAAATCCAGTAATCTGATAGGAAGATTTGAGCACATTTGAGGGAAAATTGCTATATTCATGTATCAGCAACAATGTTACCCCCTACACACAAAGATTCTATACAATAAGAGTGGCTTAATATTGGCAAGTTGACATGGAAAATCAGTCAAAATCCCCCCCCCCCCCCCCCAAAAAAAAATGCATGAATTTGTCATACAGTATCACTTAAGCTAGAGCATGCCTAGATTGTGACAATTAAGCCACATGATTGTGTGATTACAAAGACCTATGACTCTAAGTCACATGTGTTTAAATTGCTGCCTTCAAGTGATTACGCAAAAATATATAGACATTTCATATGTATTCAGATGAGCCATATAAGGTCTAAGATCTCACTGAGCATAGAGAAAACCTCTACATCTACAGTCAAACCTCATTATCTTGAACTCAATGGGACCAAGAAAAAACTTCGAGATATCTGAAGATTTGAGATATCCAGGGTAAAATACTTAAAGAAAAAGGGGTTGGGACTTCCAAATCACTTCGATATATCCACAGTATTCGAGATATCAGTGTTCAAGATACTGAAGTTCAAATGTATTTCATAAGAATTCTAGATAAGAAAATAAAGGTTATTTGATGCAGTATAATGTATAGTAACAGATATGATAATGAACTCACTTGTAAAAGACCATTCTGCACAATAAGAATGTTCACAGCTTTTAATTCTAAATCTTTGTCATCAAATACAAGTGTACCACCTAAAACAAATTGAAACTTTTTGATTTAAGGTAGTCCACTCCTCAGGTTTTGATTCAAGGTTGTCCACTCCTCAGATTTTTGAAAATCAGTAGTTTAAAAGTACAATGTAATTAAAAATGCTCACAAAAATGAAAAATTAATTAAAAAAATAATGTGTATTTTCAAAGTTCATCATTATAGTTAATCATAATTTTATCATATAGGGAAAATTATCAAATCTCAAATATATATTTTCAGGAAATGTGAATAAAGGATCGAACTAATTATACATTTTGTAATTGAAAATTGATCAACAAATATATTTTAGTATAAAAACTATAAATATCCAGGCATTCAGAAAAAAATGTCATGTTTTTTTTTATACTTATGTGGTATTTTAGTTCTTCTTTTACTTCTATTGTTATAAAATATAAGTGTAAAAAAGCATGTGACATCATTGCAAGATATGACATATTACATCCAATTTCATCTCATGTTAACAAGCATTTGTATCTAATGCAAGATTAAAGGAAATTTAATTTCTCTAAAAATGCAATTTTTTTTGTACTTTTATGGGCTGCAAATGTTTATTTTTGAAGACCATTTCTAGGACTTCAAAGAAGAATCTTGAATCATATGCATGAAATGAAAATTGTTGCATAAAAAAAATTTCAATTTCAACCTTCAATTTTAGAGTTATTAAATTAAATAAAATGATAATTTTAAGAGTTATTGTTCCTGGCTGAGGAGGAGGCATCCTTTATCAATAGAAAATATATTGAAAGTGAAACAATTTCATTCATGTACAAAGAGAGAAATATTAAAGCTACCTTGAATTAGTAACACTCTTAGCTTGGGTGTACTGACATCTAGGAGGATTGTTTGTCCAGCGGTGATTACAACAAAATCATCCTCCTTTGGTAGGGGACCTCCTCCCCAGGTAAAAGGGGAAGACCACACATCAATGTAGAAAAATTCAGCTGATGTCTAAAATAGATCCAATATACCTAACACCTAATTGTATAATACTATAACTATTTAATTATACTAAAATCCTTACAGAATTGATTTTTTTCCCCTGACATTCTATGTAGGTCACCTTTTTAAAAGAACATGCAGTTGTCTTAATTACTCTGAAGCTTGTTTTAGAATAAAAACTAAGGTCAAGGCCACATGTTTGAATGTTCAATCTTTCAATCTGTTCAATGTCTAAGAAATGAAGATTTTCAAACCTGTACAGCCTTTCCATTGCCAGCCACCTCTACCCTGATTAGAGCTTTCTGGGACCTTGGGTGCTGATTTGTGACACAGGTAATCTGTGTGGGGGTCACAGTTTTGACATCACAGACTGTCCCAGCAATGGAAACTGATACATCAGCCTTCACAGATCTACAGAGATCACAGAAATACTAGTGGTTATTTTATCTTATAAGGCCCCAAAATATTAATTAATAGTTTCTCAGGCCAAAAATTTCAAAATTCAATGAGGCAGGCAGGCTTTTTTTTTTTTTTTTTTTGGCAGGTAATATCTCTTTTTTTTTTTTTTTCCATGTCAGTCGTTCAAAAAAATGATGATATCAACCGATTCTTACTTTTTTGTTCTCTTACATTAATTAAAATATATACCCAACTTTAAATAATGTTATTCTAAATATTTGTTTAAATATTAATTTAAAAAATACGTATTAACAAGAATCTGATAAAAACATCTATCTTTAAGCATGGATGAAAGGGGAATAACTCAATTTTCTTTTTCAACTTGGAAAAATAGAAAATTGAGTTATTTCCCTTTTCAATATGTCAATAAAATTTATCAATGCGGCAGTTTTTGACCTGATGTGGCGGTGCCTGAGAAACTACTGATTAATTTTTTCTGGCCTAAACAGTATGAGTTTACTTTGCCATTTAATTTAATTTCATTTAACATCTACATATTAGTTTGTGTGTTCAATGCCCATCAAATCTCTTGGCATCTGTTTATACTAGAAATTATCCAGTCAAATAGACCTAGAACAATCTATAGGAATAATGGTCTACAATGGCCTTTTTAACCCTCAAAATTAAACTTTAATGAAGATTTGATTAAATAACTTTCCTTAATCCATATTTTCTGAACTAGAATATGTCTTCTTTAGAACATAATTATATATTTTATGTATTAAGTAGCATTGAACAGTGTCTTTAGTATGTAATCTTTCAATTTCAGTCTTATTGAAAAAGAAGTGGGACATTGTCATGTGTACAAAACGCCTTCCATAAAAAGTAATGTACACAACTTGTTTACACATAATATATCATTTTAATTATATTGAATGTACATTTTGATAATCTAGCTTGCATTGTTTAATTTTATGGTTCCTTACCCAAATCCTGTCCCCTCAATCGTAAGTGTGGTTCCCCCTGCTGTGCCCCCTCTGGCTGGGGTTACCATAGTAACATTAGCGGTCAAGGCAGCATCATAAGTGTATGCATCACGCAGTGTCCTGGTTACACCATTATTAGTCACATTCACAGTGCAGGTAAGATTACCATCTGAAAATCCATTATAAAGTCACCAAACATTTCAAAATCAATCATGTTTTAGCTCACCTGAGCTTTTCTGACTGAAGTGTCCATTGGTCTGCTCATCTGTCTGCATTAATTCCTATTCTTCACCTATTGTGTCTGTAAACATTTTACAACTTCTTCTCCAAAAAGCAGAATTTCAGATTTGTTTATATGAAGGACCACAGCCTCTTTCAAAGTGAGATAATGAAGCAAGTGAAAATTTAGTGGCATAAATTAGCCTCAATTTGAACATTCAAACCTGAATCTGCTTTACCTGAGGATGCTTGCATATTAGTATCAATGATCATGGCCCTGTTTTTCTTGAAATTTTTTAAAAAAAATTTTCCCCCATATATTGCTAGATAAAACTGTGATTCCCTATAGTGGGCCCAACTTACCCCTGGGGGCAATAATTTGAACTAATTTGAATCTACACTATGTCAGGATGCTTTCATGCAAGTTTCATGTTTTCTGGTCCAGTGGATTTTAATTTTTTCAAAATTTTTTTTTCAAGAATTCTTAATTATCTCCCCCTAAAAGATGCGGTTCTTTAGTTGAATAAATTTGAATCCACTTCATCCAAGTATTCTCTGTGCCAAGTTTGGTTGAAATTGACCCAGCGATTCTGGGGGAGGAGGAAATGAAACTGCAGTGAGAAGTTTAAAAAGACAACAACAACGACAATGCATGAACTTTGGCTCAGGTGAGCTAATAAAAAGTTGGAGGTATTGTCCTTTGATACATGTACAAATTTGACATTTAACTCTATATTTTTTCATTTATGTAATATCTTAAATAAATATATTACAAAAAAAAATTCTTGATGATTTCTGGGAATATTATTATATGTATAACAACTTTTTACTTTCTCTGCAGATTTTTTTCATATCTACAGCAGAGGCTTAAAAGCATTTCCTTGTGATTGTTTTGTTTTTGTATTCCTGTCAATTTTACTGAGGACTCCATTATCATGAAAATGCTACAAATATATACTCTTTGATATCTACCTGCAGGCACTGGAGTTCTACATTTGTACTGTGAGGCTGACTGGTTGACACTCTCACATCTTCTATCACAAATCCAGACAGATGTGTTATTATCAAATCCAGATCCAGATACAGTAACCAACTGATCACCAGCAATTCCTCCTAAAAATATCAAACAACATCTATTTTTTAATTTGGTTTAAAAACCTCATAATTTCAAAGTTGACCAGTAATGTTTTAACAGAATAGACAGTTTTTTTTTAATCTGGAAAATGAATTTTGGAAATATTAATTTATATGCACCACAATTTCCTTCAAATACAATGTACTGACCTGTGTTAGGAGAAATGGATGTCACAAGGAGTTCATATTCAAACTCTGAATTTTGGTTGGACTGTCCTTTCCCCTGTACATTAACCAACACAGGGAATGAGCCTACCAGACTGGGGCCTGCTGTACACTTAATCTCTGTCTCAGATGAAGAAATGACAGAACATTCAGCACTGCCAATATTGACAGTAATTTTCTCCTTCTGCCTATCAAAATTAACCCCAGCTATGGTAACTTCAGTGCCTGCAGACCCATTGGTGGGGCTGATATATGAAATGTTTGGAGATGCCTGGTAACTGTAGTTAAAGTTAACAGCTGGGTATGAAATTTGATTGGATATTACTCTGACTTCGACAATTTCTTCGTTGTCAGTTGAAGGTGTAATACAACTGATAGTGGATAAAGTTAGGTTCACAATAGGACATGGCTTGCCTTTCACTGTAACTGATGTAAGCTTATCTACAAATCCATTTCCAGAGATAAGGACAATAGTGCCACCATGTATGCTTCCCTCTGTGGGGGAAATGTCCGTAATTATCCCTGCCCCCGTCATCATCAAGTTTCCACTGGCCAGACCCTGTCCAACCACCTCTACTACCACCAGATTATTAGGCCCTGCTGGGAGATTACCAAGCATACACTCTACTGATGAATTAGACACAGATACCACCTGACAGTTTTCTCCTCCTATCTTCACAAAAATATCAGATGTCTCATTTCCAAAACCTGAACCTTCAATAGTGACTGTTGTTTCTTTGGTTCCATTCACCACATTTGGAGATATAGAGGTCAGACTAGGGGTAAATGCAGCATCATATGTGAATTTACATTCATCTTCACATACAGCTGGGAACCATTGACCTTGAGATGACCTGACCCTGACCTCCAGATTTTTTTCACCTTGACCTGCCCTTGTTCTACAGCTAATCTCAGTGTAAGTCATATTTGTTATATCACAAGTATACCCTCCAATGGTAACTGATACATAATCCTTCATTGTGGAAAACCCAAATCCTTGGATCTGAACAAGCAACCCACCTACAAGTGAACCCACAGAGGGCATAACCTTTGTCACAACAGGAATCAGGGCAAATGATCTAGACTTCACACCTGTAATGGCCACTAAAGCATATCCAAGGTTATTATGCCTTACTGTGACTGGTTGAAGAACTCCAATAGAAGGAGAATTAGCATCATCAATATTACAAATCACATCAGTACCACTGTCTTTGTCACCAACACATCTTCCATCTCCAAAACTGATCTCATTCTGGCAGTCATTATTGGAAAACCCTGTACCTTGTAAGGTAATGTTCGTATTTACTGTGCCATTATTTTCAGACAACGCTGTAACAACTGGAGTGGTGCATGTCCAGAATTTAAAGTTAAACTTTGTTGGATCTCCCCCTGTTGGTTGAGGTACAGAGCAGTTAGACAAGGGAGTGGAGTCCCCTGTACATACACCACCTGGGGCACCAGCAGGCAATGGAGCTGTAAGAACAATCAATCACATTCACATAGATAGAAGTCCTACAAAATACAGAATTATTAAGAAATCATTTATCAGCAATCATCAACTATCATTTCGAGATGATTTAAAATACAATAAAACCATGGAACTCGAATAATTTGTACCCCTTTATCCAAAGATGCTGTAAGCAGATCTGCCTTCCCAAAACAGATGTTTCCCATAATTTTTTATCAATTTGTTCACAAGATTTGATTTTTCTACAGAAGATTTGCTAAATTCAATGTGGAAATTTAACAGATTTACTCATCTTTATAACCAAAGAAGATATGTCTTAGTATCAACTTCGAAATGATGAAACTTAAAGTTTAGACATTAAATAGAAGCTAATGTTTTCAGAATGATTCTTAATCTTGTTTTAATTTGTGCATATTTGTCAATAATTTTCACAACAAAATGCATCTGACTATACCCCAACATTGTGATTAATAATTTAAGAACTGAAAATGGTGAAAATTGGAAGATTCTGCTTTCAAATCATAAATCATAATTTAGGGGGTCAAAAGTCATAAAATTACAGGTAAATCCAGAGAGTAGACAAGTCTGTATATGCCAACATTGATTGAAATTTGTTCTCCAGTCCAAGAGAAAAAGCTTCTATAAAGTATTCAAAACTTTATGTCTGACAGATGTTAATGGACGAAAAGCCACCTTAGTGACCAGGGACATAAAAATGAGAGAGACTTGTAGAGTACGTTCTCTTGAATAAAAAATTTCTAATATAACTTACCTGAAGGTGCAACTTTCTGATATAAAGCTTCATATCCATTAACCTTGACAATGACTTCTGCCACATTAGAACTTAGATCCTCCACTGTGATACAGCCCCTGAACCAAGTAGTCTTGTACTGGTCAATATAGTCACTCCAATAGCAGTACTTTCCAGGGACTGTGAACTGATGTCGGAAAACCCCTGTAAAAATTATTTTAAATCATTATCAAAAATCTTAAAAGGAAGATAGGGTAAACTGATCGGAAGTCGAACGCCTATCTATATTCACCGACAGTGTTGACAACAGGGCACATTATGCGTGTCATAAACCCAGAGATCTATCGAAATGTGTGCCTAAAGCGTCATTTTAGCGTGTTGTTTACTGTGGCAACTGAATGAAACAATTGTTATTAAAGGAAAAAGCCCGAGATACCAAATAGATCGTAAGTCGAACACATTCGACCACAAGTCGAACGGCTAGATATGAAGTCGAACGCCATTTGTTCCGAGTCGCATGAATTACGAATTTTTCATTGATCCTCCACCTTTTCTGTTGATTTTATCTTATTTCTCTCTGTATTCAGTTTTTTTTCCAGTTTTATATGCTTTGTCTCTCTTTTTTTACCCTCCGTTGAACATGTATGAAGCCCAATTTGAAGTTACATGTATGGCAAAAAAGAAAAAAAACGTTCTGCTTTTTTTTTTTGACATCGATCACTGTTTGTTATCTTCATTTTTTACACTTAGAAGTCTTTTCTAAGGTAACATTTCGAATGCTTAAATTATTCGTTTCAGGCGAATTTATGTGGTCAGGACTCAATTTATTGTTTGAAGTTTCACAACTTTCTATGGTAGGACTAATTTTCTTAAAGTTCGATTATACTTTATTCAACGCAAAATAGTGTCAATCTAAACAATCTTGCCATGAAACAAATTCAATTTGACATATTTTAAAATCAGAAGACATAAAACGATTTACAAAATTGCATAAAAATTTAATGTTGAATATTTATTTCTTCAGAAATTTTTAAATCTTTCATGCGGATTTTAAAAACATTCAAATTATCTCTATAAGCTTTCGTTTTTCATTCTCTTTAATCAAATGTTAATCCTCTGTTACGGCCCCTATTTTCCTGAGATCTCAACAAATCTTATTATTTTCTGGAACTGGCGCAAACATACTTGCAGCATCGTTGTTTTTTTTAAAGGGGGGGGGGGGGGGGGCGAAAAAGATTCAAGTTGAAGATAGGGAACGGAATCAATCTCAAGAAAATCTATAGACAATACAAATCTGTAAAAAAGGATATAAAACACGAACCCCCGGAAATTCCAGAGGTGGGATCAGGTACCTAGGAGAAGTAAGTTGACCAGTCACACCCGCCATCAGTCTTCGAAATAACCCGGGAGTCCGATGCCCGGGACCTGGTAAAATTGCGGGCGGGCATGTGTAATGTTTTCTCCATTGTAAACTGACTTTTATGTAAAAATATTTTACACAGTGGATTGCAATTTATACTTTCGTTTCTGATATTAAAGTGTGTACGGTATTTTATTCCATGACAACTCCTTTTCCCTTTTTGTTTCTAATTGGCATTTCTTGATTTTTTGTGTGTGAAAATTTGAATAGTAGTTTAGTAAAATACCCGGTAAATAAAATCAAAAGAAATTAATTTTACGTCAGAAGTTATCGTTACCCCCCCCCCTTTTTTCAAAATGTTCAATTGTTCAATACTCGTTTATTAAATTCAGATTTCTTCAAAAATAGCAATGATTACCACATTTTGGTAGATTTATTATTTCTTGTAGATTCACTGACCTTTTTTAACAGCCCTGTTTATACATGTATTTAATGTACCAAATAAATATGCCGTCAGTAGTCAATTAAATAGGTGAAATTTATTTTTATTACCTAATGTAACAATATCATTAAAACAGACAAGTATATACATGGCCGTAGGAACCGGAGGGGCACGGGGGGCCGTGCCCCCCCCCCCCATAATTTTGCCGATATATAGATTACTATAGTAAACATAGATACTTTATGCTAGTGCCCCCTCAATAAAAACGTCTGAAGACCTTTTTTTTTTTGCTTGTCAGGAAATTTTTGGTAGTGCCCCCTCAACAGTAACAGTGAACTGAAAAATGTATGGCTGTGCCCCCCCCCCCCAAACTGAAATTGCTTCCTACGGGCCTGATATATACTAAATAAGTTGACCAAAGAAGTGCACACACATTTTGAAATCAATTTCACAGGTGTCATATGCAATGAAGCGTAACTAACTAATCCCTGTCGTCTTTCTACTGTTGTTGAAATGCAAGAGATAATCATGCCACATTGTGTACACATTGTGTACACAAACTGTAATTACACTGTAGGATTTTCACATGGAATCCAAATTCAGTATGTTAAAAACAGCATGCAGGTTTTTCCGTAATGATAAACTACTACATTTCAAAATTTTCGGTAATGCATTACAGCAATAAAAAGTATATGTTCTTGACCACCCGAAAGAATATTTTTCACTCTTGGAAATTTTTGGTTGTTGGTCCATTCTTGTATAAACAATGGTTCATACACTGTAAAGACAGCGGTTTTTTTTTTATTTCATGAAGTTAAATTTTGAATAGGGCATGGTAGTAGATGAGATGCCCGACGGGCATGCGTTGTGAAGACTGCGCCATGAACCAGCAAAAACCGAAGAAGTAATTATCCAATCTCGAAATTTCCATGCGGGGGTGGGGGGTGGGTCCAACTGTTTCAACAATAAGATTCTTGGCTACATAAAACGGGGCGATTTTACCGTGCTGCAAAAAATTAGGGGATGGGTTGCAGCTAGACTTTTCAATGAACATTTTCAAACTAAATTTACAGTAAAATATTATGTTCGAAAATATACTTCTTGCTTGCGGAGCGTCAGATCTTCTTAATTAAATATTCATCATTGTTTGTCTTTTCACTGTCGTGGTAAATGGATAAAGCATTAAGAACCCACCTGTAACATGTATTAGGCACTGGAGAGCACTGAAAACATTGGCAGGCACAGACCCAGGTATTTTTTTCCAGAGAGAGGGGAGGGGGCACTACATCACAAAAAATCCAACTCACAAATTTGTTGATAAAAAGAAAAGAAAACTCCTTTCCCCAGCATGAGGATTTTTGCACAAAGTTTAAAACTTGATTTCAGACGTAATTGCCAAAATAGATAGCCTACATCTAAATTTGCTATATTACGACTAGATGTTTACAATTAAAATGATCACGTAAATTGTGGTCTGAATAATGGAATAATTAAAGTACTGGTGGCACAGGTTTGTTTGTTTTTGTTTGTTTGTTTGTTGTTTTTTTTTAATGGAAAGAGTTGATTCATTTTCTGCTATAATAATATAATCTTTATAAATCTTATAAAGCTTTTAATCTCTCTTGTATAAATTGCGGTATTTTTATCGTTGTTTCTAGTGTCGAACACTGATCGACTTCCGATTATTTTCGGTGTTCGACTCCATATTTTTTTTCGATATTTATTCAATGAGCTTTGGTTAATTATTTTGCGAATTATGTATCCAAAACCATATAAAAACAGCTTTTAAAAATATCGATTGGTATAAATCTGTCTCTTAAAGTATTGATTAGCTTATTTGGTAAATGTTTGGAGCTTTGAAACAACATGGATAATTCATTTACGACAGAAAATTTGGAGAAATCACCTTCAAATTTCCCGGCACCTAGAACTATTAACAGAAGAGTTCGACTTAGAAAAGATAACTCTAATTGATTAAATGGATAAAAATGAAGACGGATAATCAAGAGTTGCCTACCATTTATTGTTTATCAAACGGTGTACGTGAGGTTTAAAATGCGTTCGACTTGCGGTCATGTCCGACTTTCGATCAGTTTACCCTATATTACAAATTTGTTCTCTGTTTGAAACTTAATTATATAGCAGTAAATGAATAAGTTTAATGCAAAACAGGCCTAAAAAAATCATCAGTAGAGGAATCTACAGACATCACAAATCCTCTATAATAAGATAACAGTAACTGACAGTAGAGATGAAGATTCCCCTCTGTATTACCGGCCTCCTTTGGTTCTCCACTGTTAAATCCACCTTCCACCTCCTCCACTGAACTTTCGTCCTTGACCTGCACGACTCTCGGTCGCATCCCTGAGATATAGGATGCAAAACTCCAGGTCCACTCCACAGTGTCTCCCACATTTACCGTCAGATATTGTGGATTCCAGGCATATCCACTCAGTTTAAATGCTGTGAAAACAAAATTAACACATGACAAGAGGAATCTGATATTGGCAATCTATGTTTAGAGTCCATTTTACAACAATAACATCAGGTCTTTAGAGCTATTTGCTAACTACACATATTGATTGATGGTTTGTAGTTTAACATCCTTTGCATATAGCAAAAATATTTTACTCATATGAGATGCTAACAGCATAACATGTACAGGAATACAATGTATCCTTTTCAGATGGTGGCAAAAAGTTTAATAAAAGAATATACTATTCCAGGTTCATATAGCCGAGGGTGTTTTCATAGAAAGGCCTAGCTGCGCAAAATCTAAATACTCAATTATGTCTTCTGAATTAAAAAAAAAAAATAAATCAATCAAATGATTTTTCTAGCAAATATACATGGACTTTATGCTTATTAGAACAAGAGGCCCAAAGGCCTTGAATCACACTTCTGATAAATAGTATAACCTGTCACTTCTATTTGAAGCCTCTACATATCCTGTCTATTTAGACAATTCCAAAAGTAGGTCATCATGCCAAATATTTTGGTTAAAACACTCTGAGAACCAAAGATGCATCAACTGACAAAAGTTCAATGATTCAAAGCCCCTCAATATTATCTTAAATATTCAGATATAGCAATGAGATTCCAAAAGTAGGTCATGGTGACATACTTTTTAGTTAACATACTCTGAGACTCCAAAATGCCTCAATTGACAAAGTTTGATGATTTTAAGTCTCTTATTATTTGAAATATGTAGATATTGCCTTGAAATTCTAAAAGTAGGTCACTGTGACCTACTTTTAAGTTGACACATTCTGAGGACTCAAAATACATCAAAGTTCAATGATTCTACGCCAATTAATACCTGAAATATTTAAATATAGCCATAAAATTTCAAAGGTAGGTCAAGGTGATCTACTTTTTTGTTGAGGTACTTCGAGGACCTAAGATGCATTAACTGACTAAGTTTGAAGATCATAGGCCTTAAAGTGTCCAAAATAAAATTTGAACTAAAACAATCTGAAAATGAATGCCTGCAAAATTCTGAAAGTAGGTCATTGTGAACTACTTTTTTCAAAAATATGTTTTAAGGCCCAAAGATGCATCAACTTACTCAGTTTGATGATTCTAAACCTCTCAGTATCTGAAATAATGACCTTAAATATTTTGAAAAAAGATAAGCCATATAATTCAAAAAGAAGATCACAGTGGCCTATTTTTCAGTTGACATACTCTGAGGACCAAAGATGCATCAACTGACAAAATTTGATGATCATAGGTCTTAAAGTGTCCAAAATATGTCTCTTAAACAATCTGAAATCAATTGCCTGCAGAATTCAAAAAAAGGTCACTGTGACCTACTTTTGAGTCAACATGATATGAGGTCCTAAGATGCATCAACTGACAAGATTTGATGATCTTAGTCCCTATAGTAAGCAAAATATTAAACATTTAACAAAATGTAATTTTTTGTCATCTTTAAAGTGACCTTGAGACCACGCCTTTTGCCCCAGGGTGATGCCTTGAACAATTTTTAATCTACAACATGTCCTCACCCTTGTATGTAAGTTTGGTGATAATCTGCCCAGTGGTTCTTGAGAAGATTTTTTAGCAACCAGTACCCCTTCTTTAAGGGTCACATCCCTAGTTTTAGTATAAACCAGAGCCCTTGGGCCAAGAATACCCTGTGACAAATTTGACAAAAATTGGCCAAGGGGTTCTTGAGATATGGCCCATATTCTAAAAAGTTTACACACACATGGCACAATGGCCACAGCATTAGCTCTTTGAGCCTTTGGCTAAAAAGAGCTAAAAATGCACACATTAATGTTTGATTTTCTTGCAAAAAGAGATCAAAAATTGCACAATAGATATTTTTCAAGTACAGTTAAACCTTGTTATCTAAAACTCGATGGGACCGAGGAATTACTTCGAGATATCCGAGGATTTGAGATATCAAGGGTGAAATACTCAAAAAATAAGTGGTTGGGACTTCCAAATCATTTTGACATATCCATGGGATTCGAGATATCAGTGTTCAAGATACCAAAGTTCAACTGTATTTAGAAAAACTGCATATTACATTATCCAAAAAACTTCATGAGAACAGGTATGTCCATCTTTTTTCAAATCTGCATTTTTTGCTAACAATCTAAGCTATGCTAAACAAATTCAAATGATTCAAACATTAATGTTAGATATATACAATTATTAGGTATCAAATTATAGAAGGAAAAAATTACCAAGAATATGGTGCTGTTTTTTATTATAACAACCATAAATTGTGCTAAAATACATTGCAGCTGTTTTTAAACCCTTATATATGCCCTATAGGATGTTATATAAACAACAGTTTACAGGGGATTATTATGTTAATGAAATAGATGAAGATTATGAAACAGTAGTTAATCTCAAAAAACCTACAAACAATACAAATCTGTGAACAGGGGATGAAACATGAACCTCTGGAAAGAGGTGGGATCAGGTGCCTACAAGGAGTAAGCATCTCCTGTCAACCAGTCATACAGTAGATTGTATTACCGGCATTTTTAATGACTTCACATATCTAGTCCAAAGCATACTTTAATGTAACCATTTTGAAAAAATATATCAACTCTAGAGCACCTATACAATATTATCTTCACCTTTTTCATTGCATTAAAGTATGAAAAGTTTATATAAGATATAATGTGAAATGAAAAAAAAATTACTTGTTTTAATGTTGTGGCTATAAATCAGACTTTAAACATTCATTTGGATGAATAATTGCTCCTCCCTAAAATGGTTTGCTTATGTTGCAAGTCTGAGAAACACTATTAGTGAATATCTTACAAGGATGAACTCCAGAGTTGTCCACAGAATGAACCTTAGCTGTATCTGCAATCTGACACTTCAATTCTGTAATGGTGGAACTCTGTATGTCACAGATGTGGGTCCCTACCATCACAGAGTTCCTGGACTTGTTGGTAGAGAAGCCGTCACCCATGATGGTGAGTGTGGTCCCCCCTCTAAGTGACCCCATGAGAGGAGCAACACTGGACACAATCAATCTCCACTCCATTGAAGGCAGTGAGTTTGTACTGCTACAAGGAACAAAAATTTAATGCATTCATGCAACTAGGATAACATTTAGGTCTATACTTATTAAATTTGTTTCAATCATAAATTACTGATTAAAAATAATTTAAATGAAAAAAGATGAAAGAGTATTCAGTATGCATCAGATTCTAGATTAGCATAGGCTGAAAGCAGAACTGCTGAACAAAATTAAATGTACTCAATGTATTCGTGTTATCAATTGTCACTCTGATGGAAAGAGACAACACAAAAGCATAAATATGTAATAGAACTACAAACCATGTAAATACATGTATTGCCATTTCAATTTTTTTTTTCTGATAAACTCATATTTACCTGTCTACAGCAAATCCTGTGGCTCCCAAGAGTTTGATGGGGTATGCTCCTGCAGGCATGGAGGGTACTATAAGTTTAATTTCTGTGTCGGAGGAATTTGTAGGGCTCACTGGCTTGTCTCCTATCGTTACTGACTCGGTTTGATTGAGGCCTTCTCCTTGTATTGTTATCTCGGTCCATCCTGTTTGATACAATACAAGAAATATTTCTGTTTTAATTTAGTGCAAGGTAAACTATAATTTAAGATTTAAAAGGAAAAAAATTAGCCCTAAGAACTACTGGCTGAATTAGCTACTTTTGCACAGAATAGGAAATGAGTACTTGTAAGGAAATTATAATGTTATGCTCTTAGGAAATATATTTAATTTAAAAAGCAAGAGAGAAAAACGGATCCATAAAAATATCTTAGTAAATTTAATCATTTGTTTCTAAATATTATTAAAATAATCTAGTCTAATCTTAAAATCAGAGGCCCATGGTACACAATGCTCACTTGAGTCATGTTGGCCCAGCTGTTCTATTATAATTTCTCCCTCTTGTTTCCAAAAAAAAAAAAATTTCAACCTAATATGGATTAAATGATATTAACACAAAAATATTATTAGATGTGTTGTTGCATTTTAAGCTGCACTTATTTAGATTAATTACCTGCAACAAATGTAGAGTTGGGTTCCACGGAGTTGACAATGATCATATCTGTACTGGAGTACATCAGAGACTTAGAATGGGTAACATTGATACCCGTATAGCCCTGCTTGACAACAATGCTGGCATTTTTACCCTCTGACTACAAAATAAAGCAATAAACTGAAGTCTTTGAAATTTAAATTAATACAAAACCTGTTACTCACATGTAATTATGTTAATAAATTATGATCAACTGACACTGGTATTTATAAAGTTATTAATCAATTATTATCGAAGTCTACCTTGCTTTCGAAGAAACTTGAATAGCAAATTTTCAAAACATGTTGAATTCCGTGTGTGTAAAATGTATGTGAGAATCTCTAGTTTGGGTCTGCAGTTCTTAAGTGTTATTGCACTGCTGTTTGAGTTGACAACAGATGTATACATGTACTTACAGAAGGAGGTATAAGACACATGTATATACTTACAGAAGGAGGTATAAGACATGTGTATACTTACAGAAGGAGGTATAAGACATGTGTATACTTACAGAAGGAGGTATAATACACATGTGTATACTTACAGAAGGAGGTATAAGACATGTGTATACTTACAGAAGGAGGTATAAGACATGTGTATACTTACAAAAGGAGGTATAAGACGTGTATACTTACAGAAGGAGGTATAAGACATGTGTATACTTACAGAAGGAGGTATAAGACATGTGTATACTTACAGAAGGAGGTATAAGACACATGTGTATACTTACAGAAGGAGGTATAAGACACATGTGTATACTTACAGAAGGAGGTATAAGACATGTGTATACTTACAGAAGGAGGTATAAGACACATGTGTACTTACAGAAGGAGGTATAAGACATGTGTATACTTACAAAAGGAGGTATAAGACATGTGTATACTTACAGAAGGAGGTATAAGACATGTGTATACTTACAGAAGGAGGTATAAGACATGTGTATACTTACAGAAGGAGGTATAAGACACATGTGTATACTTACAGAAGGAGGTATAAGACATGTGTATACTTACAGAAGGAGGTATAAGACATGTGTATACTTACAGAAGGAGGTATAAGACATGTGTATACTTACAGAAGGAGGTATAAGACATGTGTATACTTACAGAAGGAGGTATAAGACACATGTGTATACTTACAGAAGGAGGTATAAGACACATGTGTATACTTACAGAAGGAGGTATAAGACACATGTGTATACTTACAGAAGGAGGTATAAGACACATGTGTATACTTACAGAAGGAGGTATAAGACACATGTGTATACTTACAAAAGGAGGTATAAGACATGTGTATACTTACAGAAGGAGGTATAAGACATGTGTATACTTACAGAAGGAGGTATAAGACACATGTGTATACTTACAGAAGGAGGTATAAGACACATGTGTATACTTACAGAAGGAGGTATAAGACACATGTGTATACTTACAGAAGGAGGTATAAGACACATGTGTATACTTACAGAAGGAGGTATAAGACGTGTATACTTACAGAAGGAGGTATAAGACGTGTATACTTACAGAAGAAGGTATAAGACACACATGTACTTACAGAAGGAGGTATAAGACACATGTATACTTACAGAAGGAGGTATAAGACACACGTGTACTTACAGAAGGAGGTATAAGACACACATGTACTTACAGAGGGAGGTATAAGACACATGCACTTACAGAGGGAGGTATAAGACACATGTGTACTTACAGAAGGAGGTATAAGACACACATGTACTTACACATGTACATGTACTTACAGAAGAAGGTATAAGACACACATGCACTTACAGAGGGAGGTATAAGACACATGTGTATACTTACAGAAGGAGGTATAAGACATGTGTATACTTACAGAAGGAGGTATAAGACACATGTGTACTTACAGAAGGAGGTATAAGACATGTGTATACTTACAGAAGGAGGTATAAGACACATGTGTACTTACAGAAGGAGGTATAAGACACACCTGTACTTACAGAAGAAGGTATAAGACACATATGTACTTACAGAAGGAGGTATAAGACACATGTGTACTTACAGAATGAGGTATAAGACACATGTGTACTTACAGAGGGAGGTATAAGACACATGTGTACTTACAGAAGGAGGTATAAGACACATGTGTATACTTACAGAAGGAGGTATAAGACATGTGTATACTTACAGAAGGAGGTATAAGACATGTGTATACTTACAGAAGGAGGTATAAGACATGTGTATACTTACAAAAGGAGGTATAAGACACATGTACTTACAGAAGGAGGTATAAGACACACATGTACTTACAGAGGGAGGTATAAGACACATGCACTTACAGAGGGAGGTATAAGACACATGTGTACTTCCAGAAGGAGGTATAAGACACACATGTACTTACAGAAGGAGGTATAAAACACACATATACTTACAGAAGGAGGTATAAGACACACATGTACTTACAGAGGGAGGTATAAGACACACGTGTACTTACAGAAAGAGGATAAGACACACATGTACTTACAGAAGGAGGTATAAGACACACATGTACTTACAGAAGGAGGTATAAGACACACAGTCTGGGTAGAAGTACTGGACAGTTTAGGACACATCACATCTCCCACATACACCTCATCCTTAGAAGAAAAGCCATATCCTCCCAAGGTCAGATTCAAACCACCTACAAATCACAATGTCAGGGGTTATTTTCAATGATATAACAAACATTATCTTTTATCAAATGGTTTAAATTATAAACAATTATAAAGATTTTTTCAAATGCACCTTATATTTAAAATACAGTTAAACTTCCGGATCTGGAACACCGATATCATGAACACCATGGATATGTTGAAGTGAATTGGCAGTGCCAACTACTTTTCCTGATGTTTCTTAGCCTCTTACTTATACATTTTGTCTCTCTATTGTTACAGTAGATTCCTTAATTTACACAAGTACTAAATATCATGAAAATGACTCGTAGACGTCAAATCGTGAGAAAACTAATTCACAAATGTTTATAAATAGTCTTTGCATGCATGTATTTTAGCAATGAGAAAATAAAAGAGGGTAATTTTATTTCAGAAATGGTGTTTCTTGCAAAACTACTTATTATGATAATAATAAATTCATTACAAAAAATATTTAGGAATCTACAATTATACTAATTAACAAATGAAAGACATGCACTTACCCCCCAGTGAGACAGAAGTTGGTACCATTGATTGGATGCTGAATTGATAACTGAATGTGACACTGTTATTTGTATTTTCAGCCTTGCCCAGCCCTGCTACATTGACCATCACAGGATATGTTCCTGTGGGTCCATCCCCCACCCTACATACGATTTCTGTACTGTTAGATGTTACAGTCACACATGGTACTCCCCCGATCATGACAGAGTTAAGACTGTGGTTGCCGTGGAATCCTGTGCCATTTATTGTAATTAGTGTGGATGTCGGGAAGCCTGGAAGTGAATGCCTGTATGTATTTGAGGCATATTGTAAAACTTGCAAGACATTTTTTTCTCTGATACAAAAGTCCAAATTTATCAAAACAAATTCAAAGTAGATGCAAAAAATTTATTCATAAATTTATACATGATTTAATATTGCAATCTCATAAAATTTTTCACATGTGAGTATGATTTTCTAAATATGCATAACAGTGACATTTATTATTCATAGATATAATTGTCCATTGAACATGAATACCACTGATTTCTGTATTGATAATCATTAAGTTATCTAAAAGCATTAACACACATTATAGTAAAAAATCCTTTTTGACAGACACATGTACATCATAAATATTTGCTTACAATATAGGTCACAGGTGAGTACTTACCTGTGTTTGGGGTCACTGAGACAATGATGGGTGTGACCAATTCTGACCACTCCCATGAGCAGTTTCCTGAACATTTTGTTGGGATATCATTAATGTATGCCATGACAGAAGGTTTCTTTTCCAATGTTGCAAGCATGTCTCCAGGTATGGGGTTCATCCATACATTTCCATCTGTAACTGTGTTGACGATTGCAGTCACATTTTCACCTTCTGCATAACTGGTGACCTAAACAAATAACAAGAGGCCCATAGGCCACAATGCTCACCTGAGTAACTTTAGCCCTGCTGTTCTTCATCAGGTTTCCAATAAGATTTTTATATTCCCATGAAAAATTGAAACCCCATATTATAGCCCCAGTCTAACTCTAAAGGTCTATGAATTCACGCAACATGGGGATACATCAACATCGTTATCACTTTCATGGCCTTGCAATAATGGAGGAGCAGATTCTTTTTCTGTATACATGCATTATTTGAAATTTAATCCCTATTTTAGCTAACTCTAACCCATAGTACATAATTTGAAAAAAAATGAATCCACTCAACTTTGAAATGTTTGCATATGAATGGTGCAATTTAGTTCGGGAGAAGATTTTCAAAGTTTATCTCTTATATCGTCCCATGAAAAATTTTGATTCCCCCAGGGGCCATGATTTATTTATTAAAAAATTTACACACCTCAGGAAGCTTTCATATAAGTTTCATTTCTTCTGGACCGGTGATTCTTGAGAAAAAGATTTTTAAAGATTTTTTCTATATATTTCAATGTAAAACTTCGATCTATTGTGGCCCCACCCTACCCCAGGGGGCCATGAACTGAACAATTTTGAATGTCCACTACTTCAGGAAGCTTTTGTTTTATCTCTTCTGGTCTTATGGTTCTTGAGAAGATTTTTAAGAATTCTTTTCTATATATTTCAACATAAAAATTTGATCTTCTATTGTGAACCCACCCTACTTTGGTGGCCATGATGTGCATAATTTAGAATCAATAGTACCTCATGAAGCTTCCTGTTGCATTTAAGTTTCATCTCTTCTGGCCCAGTGATTCTTGAGAAGATTTTAAAGAATTTTTCCTGCAACTTTCATCCCATATTGTGGCCCCACCCAGCCGCCTGGGGCCTTAGAATCTGCATTACCTCAGGAAGCTTTCAAGTTTCATCTATTCTAGCCCAGTGTTTCTTGAGAAGATTTTTAAAGTATTTTAATTTTCCTGCATTTTTCAATGTTAAACTTTGATCCCCTATAGTGGTCCCACCTAACTCCTGAGGGCCATGATTTGAACAATTTAGACTCTACACTAGCTCAGGAGGCTTCCACATAAGTTTCAGCTTTCCTTCTCCAGTGGTTCTTGATAAGAAGATTTTCAAAGATTTTTTCCTATTTATTTCAATGTAAAACTTTGATCCCCTAATGTTGCCCCACCCAATCCCCTAGGGCCATGATTTAAACAATTTAAAATCTATACTACCTCATGAAGCTTTCACACAAGTTTCATCTCTTCTGACCCAGTGGTTCTTGAGAAGATTTTTTAATGACCCCAACACAATTTTGCCTTTTCTTGATTATCTCCCCTTGGAATAGGCTCTTTATTTGAATAATTTAAAATCCTCTTTATCCAAGGATGCCTTGTGCCAACTAAGGTTAAAATTGGCACAACTATTTTTGAGAAGAAGTCCGAAATGTGAAAAGTTTACAAATAAATGGACAGAAGGATGGACAGATGAAGGGACAGATGCTGGACAATGGGTGATCAGAAAAGCTTTCAGCTCAGGTGAGCTAAAAATGACAGGTAGAGTAACTCTCAAATTTCCTACAAATACTGGACAGCACAAAAAATAAATTCTTTTGCTGTAACTGATTATTCTTTCTAAAATAACAATTCAGTCACTTCTTTGTGATAAAATGTACATGTACCTTAAGGTTCCTCAATAATATTTAGTTTTTCCCAAGTCATTGAAGTATTGCTACTTCAACAAGTTTTCTCACAAAAAAATTGAGGTACCTTACCAGGCATTTGTGCAAGATACCAGAGGATGGAGTTTCCTATATAATCCTTTTTGCTATCTTTTGAATTGTCAATATCAACATTTTTGGTGTATCTTTTTTTCCAGACATTTTGAAAAAACTTTGAAAATCACAAGATAATGATAATTATGAATAATTTTTAATATATTATGAAGAGATCTAAAACAGATATTCGAGGAACGTGTCGTCTGCCCTTAACTACAGGAAACGTATGAGTATAGTTGTCCTTCAAGCTTTTGTTTGTTTGTTTGTTTTTTTGTGGTTACCTGTATGGTTTCCTGGTCTCCTCCTCTAGAGTGGAACCCAATATTTAAGTCAAATGCTGCACAGCCACCATGTTTGTACGTGTAAAGATTTCCCATCTCTGGTATGCCTGATTGTAAGAAAGCTGCAAGCCTTGTCCCATCAATAGTGAATGGAATACCTGAAGTCATTTCAAAAACTCTCATATCTGGCACTATGTATATGTTTTTATAGACTCCCATAGACTTTAATACTGTCTTCTAAGACCATTTATTTTGAAATCAAGTCTATATGAAATTAGCTAGAAAACAACATATGATATAAAGTATAACAATGAAGGACAAAAAGGAAAGTAAGATGAGATGTGCAATCATACAACCCCCCCCCCCCCCCCCCTCACCTGAGAGAAACAGTATTAATCCACTAATTGGTAGGCCTTAAATTCAAAAGGATTAAATTTGAAATGTCTAAATTGACATTTTTTTTTTACATACCATCAAGGGTTTTATTCTGGAAAGTCACAGAGAAGTTGCCGGATACTGGGGGTGAAGCTGCCGACACCCGAGAGATGCTCAGGATTGTTCCACTGGAAATCTGTCTCAGAAATGAAGAGTTTCCATGACGTGAAATATTACAAAGGATGAGTTCCAGTAACTATTGTCAGAGGCCCATTTTTCTATAGTGAATTATGATTAATGTGGAAATCTTCTTACATTAAATTCATTATTTAAACTTGACAAATGCAAATTGGTACTTCTGAAAATGCCCTTTGCATCCAGCTAAACTCTTAAAATCCATGGTTTAGATCATTACTTTGCATCCAACTGAACTCTCGAAATTCCATGGTTTAGATCATTACTCCCATGTGACAAATGGAATTACTCCATCTGTTGTGTAATGTACTCAAAGACTTTATATAATATATAGATCTATATTACATTACATTTATATATATTCCTGTCGTTATTGATTGAAACAAAAGAACTACTTGTTATGAAAAAAATCATAGTGACCCTAACATGGGGTGTGACACACCATCTACCTAAGATGCATTACTATTATCAGCTGAATAAGTTTTTTTTCAATTTTGAGCCAGACATGGTTTTGTCATATTTGGCAGCATTATCTTAATTTCAAGGTCACAGTGACCTATTTTCAATGTACAACACACCTTCTTTTAAGATGCACCAGCTGATTATACATGTTAGTTTGATGAGTCTAGTCCTCATGATACATCAAGTATTTTAAAAAATTAATGAGCTGGGAAAGAAAAAGACTAACAGATGGACAGATAGACAACATGAATACATGTACCACATAATATAATACATCCTGTCTTAGACAGGCACGTAAAAATCTGTGATAGCCTCAGCAGCTTTGTCTTATATATAAATATATACACCTGCTGTGACTACCACCTAATTAAAATCTTCATTTTTTACCTGTCCAGGTACTGCAGCTAATAAAGAGAAGTTATAAGCACAGGCATAAGGTATAAACTCCACTTGGTACTCTGCAGTGTCATTTTTGTCAGACCTGATCACATTCACATGACTGATCATTCCACCACCTGGCATAGCTGGTCTTAACCTCATTAAGTTAATGTTTTCTGAAATTTTGTTTGAAATTGGCTCATAAAATATACTGTAGAATTGCTTTATTAATCTTACCTATATTTTTGGTGACAACAGTTTTTGATACAGTTGAATAGCTTTCACTAATACGTATCAGCATATTAGGTTTGATCAATATTTCTTGATTGGTTTATTTAAAACTAGCTAAACACTAATTTAAGAAAAGTGCGGTCAAGGTCAAAGGAAAGGTAAATAAAAAGTTGATACAGCTGAATAGCTAACATCAGTACGAATCAGCATATGAAGTTTGAGAACACAATCCTGAATGTTTTTTTTTAAACTGAGCTAAACACTAATTTTAAAAAAAATGAGGTCAAGGTCAATGGAAAGGTCAAGGTCAAAAAATGTTGAAGCAGTTGATAGCTCTCATCAGTATGTATCAGCATATGAAGTTTGATAAAAATATCTTGAATTGTTTCTTTAAAACTGAGCTAAACACTAATTTAAGAAAAGTGAGGTCAACATCAAAGGAAAGGTCAAGGTCAAAAAAAGTTGAAGCAGTTGATAGCTCTCATCAGTATGTATCACCATATGAAGTTTGATAAAAATATCTTGAATTGTTTCTTTTAAAACTGAGCTAAGCACAAATAAAGGAAAAGTGAGGTCACGTTCAAAGAAAAGGTCAAGGTCAAAAATTGCTGATGCAGTTGAATAGCTCTCATCAATATCTATCAGCATAGGAAGTTTCATAAAAAATATCTGGAATAGTTTTTTTTAAACTAAGCTTTGAACTGAGCTAAATGCAAAGTGGGACAGGACAAACGGAAGGACGGAGGACGGACATGACAAACTCTATATGCCGCGACTATTTTCATGGCGGGGCATAAAAATCATTGGCTAAATTTAACTCACATTCAAAGAGGGGCTACAATCTCACAAGATTACCTTCATCTAAGTTGGTTGGGTTCCTTCCAACATAAATTTCATCCACATAATAGAAGTCCTCAGAGTCATCTTTTCTGATCTCAATCAGGAAGATTTTAAAGCTTGTTCCTACTTTGCCATCTTGTACAACAGCCAGCATGTCAATGCACTTGTAGTTCCACCTGTCCGATTAAAACAGAACAAGAATGTTCAAACATAGGTAATCAAAGATTACGAAGCTCACCTCGACGAATGTTATCTATAAGTAAGGCAAATTTCACATAATATTTTTTTGTCCTAAATAGGGTACATCCCAAGATCAATATACATGCAAGTTTGGTTTAAGTAGGACTCATAGTTACTTGGAAATAGACCTGCTCAATAAACTTTTAACCTGTTTAGTAATCAAGAAAATTGTGGTCAGTTCCAACATCCAAAGCAAGTCTGGAAGTTTTCATCCTTAGATGCCCCATCTATGCAAGTTTAATCATAACAGGCCACAACATTATAAAGCTTTTCCAAAAAAATTACTCTGGTCACTCATCTGGAAAATGTAGGTCAGATTCAAAATCCAAAGCAAGTCAGGAAGTATCCATCCCTAGAAACATCATCCATGCTAATTTGGTTAAAAAATGGCTAAAATTCACTAATGTGGAAAATCTAGGTTAGATCCAGCACCCAAAGCAAGTGTGGAAGTGTCCATCCCTAGATGCATCATACATGCAAGTTTGGTCCAGGTGGGGCTTATAGTTACTTGGGAATGGACCTGCTCCAAAAACTTTAACCTGGTCATTCATCTGGAAAATCTAGGTCAGATCCAGCATCCAAAGCAAGTGTGGAAGTGTCCATCCTTAGATGTATTATCCATGCAAGTTTGGTCCAGGTAGGGCTTATAATTACTTGAGAATAGACCTGCTCCAAAAACTTTAACCTGGTCATTCATCTGCAAAATCTAGGTCAGATCCAGCATCCAAAGCAAGTGTGGTAGTGTCCATCCCTAGATGCATCATACATGCAAGTTTGGTCCAGGTAGGGCTTATAGTTACTTCGGAATGGACCTGCTCCAAAAACTTTAACCTGGTCATTCATCTGCAAAATCTAGGTCAGATCCAGCATCCGAAGCAAGTGTGGAAGTGTCCATCCTTAGATGCATCATACATGCAAGTTTGGTCCAGGTAGGGCTTATAGTTACTTGGGAATGGACCTGCTCCAAAAACTTTAACATGGTCATTCATCTGGAAAATCTAGGTCAGAGCCAGCATCCGAAGCAAGTGTGATAGTGTCCATCCCTAGATGCATCATACATGCAAGTTTGGTCCAGGTAGGGCTTATAGTTACTTGGGAATGGACCTGCTCCAAAAACTTTAACCTGGTCATTCATCTGGAAAATCTAGGTCAGATCCAGCGTCTGAAGCAAGTGTGGTAGTGTCCATCCCTAGATGCATCATACATGCAAGTTTGGTCCAGGTAGGGCTTATATTTACTTGGGAATGGGATTTGCTCCTAAAACTTTAACCGGGATGCCGACGCTAATGCCGACGCCGGGGGTATAGCATAAGCTCATCTTGACTTTGTCGAAGTGAGCTAAAACTGACATGTTCTACCAGTTATCCTATCCTGAGCACAACAGTGTTAATGTGACCTACTTCTGAAATGAAAGGGTTGTAATGCACCAAGATGCATCCACTGAAAGGTTTGATGGTCATAGGCCTCAAAGTATTAAAGATATAATGATTTGATAATGAATACCGTAATGATAAAATAGTGTGTCACTGTGACCTACCGGTAATTTTAAGTCAACATATTCTGAGGTTCAAATCACTGTGACCTTATTTCAAATGCACACATCACATTGACCTTCTTAATAATTTCACACACCCCGAGGTCCTGAGATGCATCAACTAACAAGGTTTAATGATTTGAATGGCCATAAAATTCAGAGTAGGTCACTGTGACCTACTTTTTATTGTCAGACTGGAGACCCAAGGAAACATCAACTGACATTTAGTTTGATGATCCCTAAGCCTTCACTTTGTCCAAGATATGCATCAACAGAGTTGCTTTAATGTTGCAGTCCTGCCATAAAAATAATTCAATTTTATGCCTGTGCCATA